CAAATCGAATTTTGACTTGATTACGCCCCCAAAGCTTCCAAAATTGAACTGTGACTTTGTTACACCTCCAAAGTTTCCAAAAATGAAGTTTGACTTTGTTACACCTCTAACGTTTCCAAAATTGAATTTTGACTTGGTTACACCCCCAAAGTTTCTAAAATTTAATTTTGACCTAGACAGCTGCACCCTGTTTGTATACGAAAAACAGCTATTATTTGTAATTGGGTCCGAAATGAAAATAATTTGTGTCCTAATTTTGCATGGCGGGAATATGCTTGTGAAAATATGGTTTCTAAAGTAAAATTTAACGCAAAGATCAATTATGGAGATTCTAATGTTGTGCAGATAACACCTAGACAGCTGCACCCTGTTTGTATACGAAAAACAGCTATTATTTGTAATTGGGTCCGACATGAAAATAATTTGTGTCCTAATTTTGCATGGCGGGAATATGCTTGTGAAAATATGGTTTCTAAATGGAAAGTAAACGCAAACATCAATTATGGAGATTCTAATGTTGTGCAGATAACACCAAGACAGCTGCACCCTGTTTGTATACGAAAAACAGCTATTATTTGTAATTGGGTCCGAAATGAAAATAATTTGTGTCCTAGTCTTGCATGGCGGGAATATGCTTGTGAAAATATGGTTTCTAAATGGAAATTTAACGCAAAGATCAATTGTGGAGATTCTAACGTTGCGCAGATAACAACAAGACAGCTGCACCCTATTTGTATACGAAAAACAGCTATTGAGGGTATTCACGCACCCTTGGTAACTACGTAAACAGCGTAAAATCCGTAAACTTACAAACGTTTACAAACAGCTTCCCGTGAATTCACTTTCGCAATTATTTTCGTAAAAATTTATCTGATAATTGAAACAAAATGCCGATCATTTCCAGAAAACGGAAATTAATGGAAGAAATTTGTGGAGCTGCATTTATTGATATAATAAATACCACGAACAGTGAAGGCTGTTCCTATAAAAATTTCGAAATTCAATCCTCCTAAATTCTAATCCTAAATCACACTAAATCTTAGCTGAATATATAACTTCTTAGAAATCGGTATCGGTGCCCCTCCCTTATTGCCCATCTGGTTATTTTTTGTTCATCTTTGACTTCATATTCGTTCATGAGAAGCTATCACCGTCAGCTTTTTGAGACAAGTTAGCTTTTTGAGACAAGTTATGAAAATCGGTATGGGTCACCCCAACGGGTCCCGGATGTGATTTTTTACCAATTCCACTTCATATTCTTCCATTAGGAGCCTTTAGCAGCCTCTATGCCAAATTTCAGCTCGATTGGATGATTTTGAAAAATCGGTATGGGTCACCCCTTCGGGTACCTCCAGATGAAAAATTTTCCAATTTCACTTCATATTCTTTCATTATGAGCCATTAGCAACCTCTATGCCAAATTTCTGTATCGAACAAATTTTTTTCTTCCGCAAATTGAGTTTACAAAATACTTTACAAAATTAAAAGACGCCTGTGAGCTGCGTAAGTTTACAAAAGTTTGTAAACTGATTTTCCTTGACAATTTTTGTAAAAGTTTGTAAACGTTTGTAAGTTTACGGATTTTACGCTGTTTACGTAGTTACGAAGGAGGGCGTGAATTGCCTCATTATTTGTAATTGGGTCCGAAATGAGAATAATTTGTGTCCTAATTTTGCATGGCGGGAATATGCTTGTGAAAATATGGTTTCTAAATGGAAATTTAACGCAAAGATCAATTATGGAGATTCTAATGTTGTGCAGATAACAACAAGTCAGCTGCACCCTGTTTGTATACGAAAAACAGCTATTATTTGTAATTGGGTCCGAAATGAAAATAATTTGTGTCGTGATTTTGCATGGCGGGAATATGCTTGTATCTGCGTCGCTGTATACTTGTGATGGAATATTTGCACTTCCATTTATAAAATAATGTATTTTTTCAATGCTTGTAAAATCCTCGCTCTGGCAGGAAAGACTAAAGAGTAGAAGGTCACTACTTGTCGGGCCCCGATTTCGATCTCCTTTGGATATGTTGTAATACTATATGAGTGTAGAAAAAGTGAAGGAGGGTTAGACTCCATGAGCCCATTTACGCCCGCCACACCCCCTCAAAGGCGCCCAAACCCCCGGAGTTGCCGCACTAAATTCATCGCCAAAAATCGAGTTTTGGTCAGATTTTCAAAAAAATTACATTTTTGTGATCCCAGATAGTTGCTCTATCATATCCAATAGCAAACTCAACTTTTTTGGAATTTCGAATTTTTTCAATACATACCCTTGGTCAGAAAATCTTCGAAAATATTGAAAATTTCAAAAAAGTTGAGTTTGCTATTGGATATGGTAGAGCAACTATCTGGGATCACAAAAATGTAAATTTTTTGAAAATCTGACCAAAACTCGATTTTTGGCGATGATTTTAGTGCGGCAACTCTGGGGGTTTGGGCGCCTTTGAGGGGGTGTGGCGGGCGTAAATGGGCTCATGAAGTCTAACCCTCCTTCACTTTTTCTACACACATGTAGTACTACAACATATCTAAAGGAGATCGAAATCGGGGCCCGACAAGTAGTGACCTTCTACTCCTAAGAATACGCCCATAACTTAATTTTAATTGAATCCCTTTCACTCTCTCCGCATATCGTTTGGTTATGGTCAAGCTAGGTTTTATTATGAACTAGAGTATAAGCCCGTCTCCCGCCGGGCGAGGGCTGATTTGACTTTCATAAAAATTGGATAGAATTGTTGACAACTCCAACCGATTAAATATTTTAGTTGTATTATAAGCTGAAATTCTTTGTCGCCGAGGAAGTCCAAGGAATTTATAAAATACCAATGAGTTGATGAAGATGATTTAATAAGAAAACTAAAAATTAAAATATAAGCAATCTAAAAAATCCTGATGCCATGCTATATATTTTTATGTGGTAATAAATATACGGTAACAACGAATGGATCGAAGGAATTAAATCAAAATAAGTATGTTATACCCGGTTCAAAATTTGTTAACATAGACATTTTTGACGTTTATTCGACATAATATGTCACATAATATGTGACCTTGGGCTTGGTCCAGCAACACCAGGGCCACACGGTCACTGGTGTTTGACATGTCAAAGTGCATACGATATTCGTGCTCGGAGTTCAAAATCTGTTACAATATTAGATTTGTCTAATTCATCAGAGGTCTGCGTGAAGGGGAACGTATTCAATTCCTTTCAGGTACATATATTTTATAATGTAAGAAAATCTGCAGTCTGCACATGAAGGGAATCCGTTACACATCCTTTCCATTCTTGTTGACCTCAGACGAATTAGCGAAATAGCAGCGGAAAGAAAGCGAGATATGAAACTGCAGCGATGGAAAGGAGTCTTGAAAAATATCTGATTTCAATTAGGTGCGTGACCTCACCAACAGATTACACCCAGGACTGGGCGCGTGACCACTTTCGATATGCAAACTCCCCACCTAATGTCCGGCACCCCGATTCCTCCCAGTATTGCTATAACTTTAGTTGACACATGAAGGGAAGGGAATCCTTTCCCCTTCCCTTCCCTTGATGTGAAGATTTTACTACTTCGCCTGAAGTATTTCCAAGGGGAATGGAAGAGGAAGGGAATTCCATTCCCATATGTGTAGGTTACGTAAGTGTATCTTGAAAATTAAGCAATTCAATATAAATATGGACTACCCATAAAAGGAACGGAATCCGTTCAGGGAGGCACACCCTCCCATTCCCCCCAGCAGAGCGATAACCATATTTGTGCCTGATCCCACCAATAGATCACACCCAACACTGGGGGTGTAACCCTCAAACTCCCCAGCTAATGTCAGGCAGCCCCCACCATTCCTTCTAGCATAGAGATCACTATAGTCCTCACATGAAGGGAACGGAATCCATTCCCCTTCCCTGCCCTTGTGAAGGTTTCATGTGAAGATTTCACTACTGTGCCTGAAGTACATCGCAAAAGAATGGATGAGGAAGGGAATTCCATTCCCTTATGTGTGCTAAGGAAAATATCCTGTAATTTAAACAATCCAATATACCTAATATAAGTATGGTCTACCCATGGAGGGAAGGGAATCCGTTCTAATTCCAGTGATCAACACATAGTGAAATTTATGTCACTGGTTTGGGAACGGAGATGAATGGGCCGGAACGGAACGGTATGTTCCTTAAATATCCGGAACAAAGGAATAACTAATGCCCTTCGGTACGTGACCTTACCAACATTTCACACCCAACATTGTGATATAGGGAAATTTCCATGATAATGTCTGGCATACCCATTCCGTCAAGAGCGATAACCATACCCCGGGGGGCACACCCTTCCCCCCACTCCCCCTAGCAGAGCGATAACCATATCCCAGGGGGGCACCCCTTCCACCCCCCCCCCCGTAGAGCGATAACCATATCCCAATGGGGCACACCCTCCCACTCCCCCCAGCAGATCGATAACCATATCCCAGGGGGGCATCCCTCCCACCCCCCAGCAGAGCGATAACCATATCCCAATGGGGCACACCCTCCCTTTTCCCCCAGAAGAGTGATAACCCCATACCAAAGGGGCACACGTCGTTTCCACATGCGACCGGATAATCGAACTTAATAAGTTCCCTTCCTGATAACCCAACCAGCAAATCTTAGATAACTGACTTATCAACTTTCCAACGCAGTTGATATGCAAATAACTTTCTCCACTTTCACTTCCGTTGCGGAACATTTGCTTTCACTTCCGTTGCCGACAGACATTTCCAGCTTATAATATAGATAATTTAGTATTCTAATTATGGTCAACTTGGATGCCATTATGATGAGAGTAAGTAAGTAAGTATTCGGGAAAAAAGTATTAATTATGATCAGTTAAATAGGATCCTTTAACTAATACTCTGGTGAACTTACACTGGTATATATTTACATGTATTTCGGAAAAAAATTGTGAAACGTTATCTTCCGCAACGGATAAATAAACATGAATGAACATTATTGTAATTTTCATTCGACTCAATTTAAATTATTAAAATTTTGGTATTTATTTTTCATACGCGTTAAATTTGGAATGTTTAAATACATATTTACCAATTACATACAAATCCCTTTTCTAACATTGTCGACCCTGCCGAACTAAGCGTCACGCTCTGAAGGAATAATAGATAACTCTGTCAACTTGTCATTTTCAGACGGACCGTCAAAACCTTCAAACCTTTCGTCATCATCATCTCCACTTTCTTCTCGGTCTTCTTTCTCATGTATGCTCACAATATGCTGCTTGATAGCAAAAATCTCGGACGAAACACATTTTCCACAAGCGCTGCACACAACACTATCTTCTCCATCGGGCCGGAAACGCATCTCGTGGACGGATGACGCCAAATGTCTCAACAATTTGGCCCTTTGCACAAACCGGTGGGGACATTGGGGGCATTTTACGGCATGTCGCACCCCACTCGCGACCTTTTTCTGATGAAACTTCTGTCTCTCTTCGGGATCAATGTGGACCTCAGTGCAGTGAATTTTTTGATGCGCTGATAAACTGACCGAATATCGGAACGCTTTTCCACACTTGTCGCAAACGAATGAATTGACTTTGCTGTGTTTTACGCCGTGTTTTGTCAAATCCTTGTAGTGCATGAATTTCCTAGGGCAGTGGAGACATTGGTGAAATTTGATGTTCAATCTAGCCAATTCGTCGTCGTCGTAGGTAATTTTACACACGGTGACTTCATGAGATATCTTTTGGCGAAGGCTTTTCAGGTGTTTGCCGCATTTTAGACAGGAGTATTCGGTTGGGGGGATAGTTTTGGAGCTAAATTCTGGATCTGTGGCGTCCTCTTCATTGCTATCGATAATAAAATAGAAATATGGTAAGTTCTTTTTGGAAATTAAAGTTTTAGAAGTGGTTGTAAAATTCTTTACCTGTTTCCGTCCACTGGGATGGATATTTTACGAACCATGGCATAAATACAATCTCTGCATTCTTGACTACTTTTACTCGTCAACAGATTTTTTCCACATTTTGTACAAGGCAGCAATTTCTTGTTCGTCTTACGTTTGACCATTTTGATGACAGGATTACTTTCTTGAGGAATTGACATGTTACCGGATGTGAGGAGTGGTTTCTGTTTTGTATGAATTGCGAAGTGACTGTAAAAACATATTTAATTAGTGTTCCTCTTGATTAGAAGTTGACTTCTAATTTTAATTTTAATAATTAAAAATGTGCGTATGTACGTATACCGATTGAGGTCACGCTGACAGGTATACTTTTTATCACAGAGGTTGCATGGGTATAACTTTATATTGTATCGCTTCAGTTTATCCGCGTCGTATGGAACTTGACAATTTACGATTTCATGTCGGATCAAACTGGATTTGTTGGAGAGGGTTTTGCCACATTTAGCACACGAAAATACGTTTTTCCCGTCACCAGCATCGTCACCAACTTGGTCAAAATTTGGACTGCGAAATACAAATTGCAATTCAATTATCCAATCAGTTTATCAAAATTGTAGACGTTAAATCAGATTTATCATTAAATTACTCGTCATTAGCATCATCTTCCAGATTTTCGTCGCTTTCTTTGCTCCCCCCAACTTGTCGCCACATTTTGGCAGCTTTCGCCTTACTTTTTCTTGGTATAAGAATTGGTCGCTCTTCATATTGAGGTTCCTCTTCAAAATCTGGGACAATTATCTCTTCAAAACTGTCGTCTAGCTCTTCCTCTTTAACATCAAAATTTACTAGCCCCTCCAAATCTGTGTCGTTATCTATTTTTCTCCTTTTCCTTTCCACCACTAATTTTCGCTTAGCTGCAAAAAAACAATTCCTTACTAAACAATTTCTTTGAAACAAAAACACACCAAACTCTATTAAAATTAACCAATTAACTCACGCTGTATTGTTCGGCTCATCGCTGACCTCGCCTTATCCAACAATCCGTCCAGCTCTGTCTGCATCGCGACAATTTCGTGATGCAGGGCGTACACTTCTTTAATTATGGGCAAACACCCCCCACAACTGTCGACCTGGTTGGCAAAGCAGTTGTACGTCGGAGGGGAGACGCTTCTCCGGAAGTGAGGCGTCATAAAGAGTTGTTTGAAGAGGGTGGTCTGCTCCTCGTAGCGGCGACGGGGTTGACCTTTCGAGACCACGGGGAACTTTCGACAGAGGAAACATTGCAACGAGGTGAGGAGGAGGTCGATGGAAGGGTCACGTTGTAGGAGAACGAATGCCGTTAAAACACCGTTCTCATGAGGAAAATGAATCGACATTTCTGTGATAAATACGAAATTAATCAATAATTAATGATAATACCGAGAAAAATGTTATAAATTTCTATGTTAGGATTAAATAATAATCAATAACAATACTGCTACTTATTTACCTATTTAGAATATTTATAATAATGCCGAATCTACATAATACTTCCGCACATTTTGAAATTGTTAATTGTACATAATATTTATTATACACTTATCGTGAACGTTATTTTGTTTAATTATCGAAATCTTGCTTAGCTATAAATATGAAATAAGTTTGTTTTCAGTGCAGTGTGTTTATGACTCCAGCAGCTGGCAAATGGAGAGCAAAAACATGTTGCATGTGTGCGATCGAGGCATTCAAGACATTGATGGTATTTAAAAAATGAGATGCATATACACATGCTTCTGTACATATTTACATATTTATTTATTACATCGTCCGATATCCAAATTCAGATCAACATTATTATGAAAAAAATTTCATAGTCAGGCCGACACTGCAAACCTGGACTGCAAACGACACGTAAACGGGACATTTAAATATGTGCTTAAAAACCAATTATCTAGTTTCCTACGTATGTTTTACAGTGTCGTAGAAAATATGAATAACGCACATTAATTTGTCTCACACATTATGTATATTGTGGCTTTAAAATCGTAAATTACGATTCGTAACTGTTCATGCAAAAGGTGTCTGTTGAGAAATCAGTCGAACGCAGAAGTTGTCAGAAGATGAAAATGCGACACCATGTTACAGTTATGAAGTCTCATATTTCCCAAAAATGTATCCAATAACTCTGCTTCCAATAATACATCCATACTCTCCAATAACTCTGCGAATACGAGTTTCTCATATTTCTCATGTTTCTCTCTCGTAGTTTCTCAAGTTGAGCAGCTCAACCAACAACTTGTGCAAGAATAGCAATAGCGCAGCGACTATATGTAGCCATCGGTTGGTAAGAAAGACGTGTACTTAATTACACAATGTGTATATAAAATAAACGGGATTTTTAACTACACGAATTATTTATGTACACAGTTCATAGACTGAGCTTAAGTCAAATAAATATATACTCCGTTAAAAATCTGGTAAAGTCTCCGTGTTGGTACTGATAAACTCCGTGTTGGTACTGATTTGGTAATAACTTTCTACAGGATTGAAAGTGATGTACTTTTGATTGAAATATTTAGGCAAGGAAATATCTGTATTTTTGGTAGTAAAAATAATTACACATTCTGGACATGTAAAGGGCAAGTAGTCAATCGTATCGAAATGAAAAGGAATTCTTCATCAATTCTGATGATATGTAAATGGGTAAAAATTATTTCGTGTTATAAATACAGTAAAAAATTGGAACACGCTTCATCTGAAAATTAAAAAGACGCGTCTCTAAAATTGCATGCACTTAATCGATTTGAGATAATCTCTGACGACATGCAACGAACTCAACATTGCATTGCTCGGGTAAACTAGGTATAGTTTTATGTACAAAAGTTACGTATAGTCTTACGTAATTTGTGGGTACATACAGCAAACGCACATACATATATACGTGACACAGATCGCATATGTATGTACATACGGTACAAAAACTCAGCATTATCGAACCAGCTGGGGCTCAGTATGTACAACCGGCCGGACAGAAAGCAGAGAATTATACGTACAATCTGTCAAAATTTGCCATACTGGCCCATACGTTTGAATATTAGTAACCTGTAATTATTCCGATATCAGTTGCTAGTATGTACCAACATACGTGTCCCGTCAGTAAAATCAGCTTAGTCATAGCATAACTAAAGAAGAGATAGATAATATTTAAGTACGTTGGTGAAATCAAGTTATGTTACTAATCCTAACCTAAGTGGTTAATATGTACATAAGGACATGGAATTTTCCACGAATTAAGTCTACGTCTTCATTTGGATTACCTTTCTTGTCAGAATGGTCTTGAAGTTTGTGGTGGTGACAGTTCACGCACATATTAAGTAGCTTGTCGCAAACATTTGAAAACGACATGGTTCTTAAATCTGAAAACAATGGAGGCAACAATGAAGTTGAGAATGGGGCAGAAATGTCCGAGTTGGATAAAATGCTTCCCGGTGGTGAGGAAGAGGTAATTAAAAAAATAGACTTTATTTTCCGTACACACTAAATAAACCGTTGTAACGTTAGAAATAGCTCGTCCTGAAACATAATTTGAGCATAACTTCGCACCGAAGGTGCAAAATAATCGGACAAATTAGATACCTAATTTTGACACAATCTTGCACCAATGGTACCTTACAATAGCCGCAAATACATACATGCATCGTATTTATGTATTTATATAATTCCGCACCAATGGTGGAAAATAAGCGGACAAAATAGACCCATAAATTTGACATAATTTCGACTTTTCCGACCCCTGCGGTGGGCACGTCTTACTACCGGTTATTCTGCACTTTTGGTGCGTATTGCATCAATTCCCCCAATTGCTTGGCACCATTTTGTGTCATCGCTTGTTCGCTTGTTAATATCCTATACAATGGACATGGTCCTATTTAATTAGCATCAATTGATGCTAAAAACTCATTAACAGACAGACGGACAGGAGGAATTCAATAGCTCTCATGCTACGCAGGACGAGCTAATAATGTGGTTGCGAAATGCATACAAGTTTTCATAGCTGGGAAAGTGAAGGTTTGTGTGAGTTTTGTATACAACCGATCCAAAAGTATGTAAAAAACGATCGGTCGAGAAATGAGTAATTTTTTCTACAAATATTTAGATAGCAATTTCAGTTGCGATGTTCACAAATCGCGGCCGAAGCGCTAAAACCGCTGTGCAAAATATTTGTTACCACATTGGGCGTACTCACGACGATGTTTTAATATTCGCATTGCAGCTCATTTAGCAAACTTGCCAAGCTCAAAAAAATTGTGTCGGTGAGGGGACTCGTAAATCATGACTTCACAATCTCGTAAATCTCGCAAGTCTAAAGATATACATACTTCTGAAAAACACGTATCTTAATGTTTTTTCATAAATTTCTGTAATTTCCCACGATACAGATGTAGTGATGGCGAGGATGAGTTTGCAAAATAATTTTCCGAAATTTACTGCTTAAAAGTCTCATGGTTTTCCAGTAAAAGTTTTGCGAAATTTCGGAAATTATGTTTATATACATATGCGAAGGTTAACGTGAGTATGACCATGTGTAGTTAGAAATACATATGCAAATAGAATCATATCTCCATTTGCGAAAAATTTGCAAATTGTTAACTAAACCATGTCTTTATTATCAGAATATCGGAAAAATCGTGAAATCCTTGGACCCCGAAACATCCAAAGTATCACTCCCATACCCGAAAGGCGTCGCTTTTATAGCACTGACCGAATTGGCTGCAAGATTCGCGTATTACGGGAGTCGCGCAGTCCTGACGATTTACATGCGAAATGTTCTCTCCTTCTCGGAAGACTTGACTACCACGATTTACCACGCTTTCCTCATGTTGTGTTACACCCTCCCGGTTATTTGGGGCGTGGTGGCGGACTCGTTTCTGGGCATGTATAAAACTCTGTGGATCGTTAACTTGCTATTTCTCGTGGGAAGTGTGGGGTTAACGGCGGGATCGTTTCCGGGACTAATGTTGCCACCAGTGTAAGATCTTTCAGACTTTTTTCGGGAATAATGACTTGGTATCAAAATTGTGTATTTCCTGCCGATTGACATCTACGAAGTAGAGCAAACTAAATTAAAAAATAAAAATACACGAAATAGATTTATTAAAAGTTTTCCTAAATAATTGCCAAATGTTTTATACATTCACCAAAAATTTTTAACTGCATGTGCCAGAATGCCTGAATAAATTCACGTAAACGTGCTTTATCATAGCGGTAACAAAATTTCACATACGCATTCTTAATATACTTAAGGACATACAATCGGTAACAATTTTACTACCAACTTATTCAGATAAAATACCACTATAATTACATTTAATAATTAACTGACTTAATTAATTTAATACATTTTAGTGAAGTCACCATTCTCAGCTTAATCTTAATGGCGGTCGGAACTGGAGGAATGAAACCTTGTTTGGTAAAAACGAAAGAAAAATTATATCGAAATTTCACCACATTTTTTGACAAAAACTTATCTTTTTTTAATTTTTAGGCCCCATTTGGCGGAGAACAATTCACATTACCACAACAGGCTCTCCGACTGCAGCAATTTTTCTCCATATTTTTCGTCGCCACGACAATCGGGAATATGCTGTCGACCGTGGTAACCCCCGTGTTGCGAAAGGACGTGTCCTGCCTCGGGAGAGAGACTTGCTACCCGTTGGCGTTTAGCGTGCCTTGTGTAATGATGCTCTTTGCAGTCGGTATGTAAAATGTGTGTACCAAAATTAATTATAAGGAAAATATGTAAATACAAATAAGTACAGAAATCGTATCATTTCGGACGTAGTAATATTCTTGGCTGGTAAACCATTTTACAAACGAAGAAAACCGGAAGGAAACATGCTGGTGAAAGTGGTCATGTGCATGAAGGTGAGTAAAATTTAAATGCCTTTTTTACATAAATGGCACAATTCACGTCAGGTTTGTAAAATTGCAAGATTTTATGGAGGGAAATATCGATTAAATTTTCTAGAAGGGATTAATTAAATTTTGATTAAATTTGCGAAATGTATGCAAAGTTTGTGAAACAACACCGATAAAAATAACCCCCAAAATTTGCAATGCCTAAATATCTTTAAATATAGTTAGTATATTTTGTAAATGTATATATTTAGCACGCAATCTTTGAATTATATAAATTAAACTGAAAATTAAAACAGTCTGTAAAACCGCACGGAGTGAATTGGATCGTTGAAAGATGATCCCTCAAAATTTGCAAGGTTGCAATAAATATAGTTTATACATTTTGCAAATATGTGTATATTTAGCACGCAATCGGAACTCGGTGGAAATCCAGCTCGCCAAAAAAGGCCCACTGGTTGGACCACGCTGAAGGAAAGTTTGACCCTCAACTAATCCAGGACTTGAAGGGGTTGTTGGGGCTGTTAATTTATTACGCGCCGTTCCCCATGTTCTACGCCCTCTTGGAACAATTAGGATCTAGATGGACGCTCCAAGCTACCAAAATGTGGGGGAGAGTTGGACACAATTTCTACATTAAACCAGATCAAATGCAGGTGTGTACATACATATTAAAAAATTGAGCGATCCCGTTTGATCTCAATTTTCACACTAAATTCATATTTGTTGGGCTAAATTAATGTAGATAATTAATTGGATGACAAACTAAAACGTTGTCAAGTTCGTAACGACTTCTGTTAACGAATTGTTTATACTATGTCGTATTTATTTGAACTAATTAAATATTTTTTTGCTTAGGTCAGCAACGCCATCTTCATGTTCCTCTTCACCCCAATTTTTGAAGGGATTCTGTACCCAGTCCTCGCAAAGGTAGGGCTTCTTAAGAGACCCTTACAAAGAATTGGATTAGGCCTATTTCTCGCAGGAATGGCATTCGTAGCGGCTGGATTGGTCGAACTGCGAATTCAGGTTTGGACTAATTTTTTTCGAATTTTTGCGAATTAACAATAATTACTATGATTATCCGCTACAGAATAACCAACCAGCAATCCTCTCAGTACCGGAAGATTCCCACGCCTTGAATCTAATCAACACGCTTCCTCCTGCTTGTCCAATACAAATTAGAGCGTCCTGGAGAAAATCGGACGGAACTGAAGCCGTGAAATTGGTCTCATTTGAAGAAAATAGTCCCCCCACAAAGATTATTTTGTTAGAAGACGAACATGTCCGGCAAATCGTACTGGAAGCTCAAATTACTGAAATACCTGAACATAACGAATGCCCAATTTTGAAGACTGACGCGATCTCTCAAAGAATCGAGTCCCTGAGTGCCTTACAAGAAATATTTATTCTGCTGGACGATACCGGATTGTCGCTAACTTTGGTTGTAAATAAGGAACCCCGGAATTCTCTAGCTCAATCGAGGGAGGGAAATTCGAAAATTCAGTAAGAAATCTATTCACTCTAATCCTAAGTTTAAAAATGGTAGTAATGCGTTCTCTGAAAACTTATCTGTTGATAATACATTGACCTTAACCTTTCCAAGGTGATAACATAATTAAGTAATTAACCGAAATTTAATTCTCTCATGTACGTAGACTTGTCTTACTGACTGATCGAGCGTACCTGAACGAATCGAATCTCATCCTGGAATCTGACCAAGGTGCACATCGAGCTTATATTTTCTCCTTTGAAGGAGAGACTGGAGAACAAAAAGAGACTGAGGTTACGATGGCCTATTCAAATATTTTAGAAGTCCCGCCAGGAAGGTTGGTACAAAAAATTTGCATATGTATATATGTGAACATTTATGTATGCATTTATTCACGCCAGGTTTATGCATAAACTTTTAAATTTCATAAAGTTATTCAACTCAATTATTCTTTTATAAATTTTGGCGTGGATAATTCCCCTAAAAATGAATTGCTAAAACTCATTTTAATTTTATTTCAATCAGATTTTCACTTTTGGTCGGAGACAAATCCAAATTTGACGTAAATCTTGCTCCTGGAGCGATCTACTCTTTACTACTTGACCGGCGAGAAACAACTACAAGTTCTAAATTCAACCTGATTCCAATCGTTGCTGGGAACGAGGTTCACATTCTGTGGCAAATTCCTCAATACGTTTTAATGGCGTGGGCTCAGATTTTATTTATCGTTTCGGGAATGGAGTTTTCCTACACGCAGGCGCCGGGAAGTATGAAAAGTGTTCTGGCAGCTTTGTGGAACTTGATGAACTCTTTTGGCAATGTGATTGTAATCCTGTCCGTATCGGTGCATTCTGGCGGGCATTATTCACAGGTGGGGTAAATATTTGGCATTTTAAGAGTATGATTAAGTAGTGTGGTAGCAGATTCTCAAATTGTGGTATCGAAACAGGATAATAGTAATGGTCCATTAGGGCGGGAAATTTATTAAGTATGCGGAATTCAATTGCTACATTCTTAGCAATCCAATAATAAAATAATACCAAGCAGTATGCATACATGACTCTATCAAAGTGATCTTGAGAAGTAATACCGAGTAGTTATGGCTCGGTATTAAAATTTTACCATATCCGCAGCAAATTTTTACGGACCAGAATAATTTTAGCACCAAGCGGTAACCACTATTAAGTATAGGGACTGAAATCCTAGTCACTAATCCTGCGACAATTCTGCTACCATTTATGTTAAATGTTGCTAATTAACGACTTATTTTTCAGGCAATGGATTACTTCCAATTTGCTGGGATGATGGGAGTCAATGTCATATTCTTCACTATACTTGCCGTTAGATACAAATATGTTGAACATTGAAAAATTTGGGAGGTTAATAAAGAAATGATATCAATTATTTAATACACAAATTGTAAATCTATCAAAATGTTTTCTTGCATCATGGATTTATTTCGTTTCTAATTTCTAAATTTTGAAAAACTCTGTTGGTTAGATCTAAAGTAGAAATTTTTGGGAAATTTCATGTTAAAATAGTTTTATACAGGTGTGTAATTATTACACATTGCAAGCAATTAAAACATTTTTATTTAAGTAATTATTTAAAATTTCACATTCATCATATACACAAATCAGAGAAAATGTATATAATAATCGGAAGGTTAATTACCAACACAATTTCCTTGGTTGTTATCATTGGCAAATACACCCACAATCGCATCCAGGCGCCAGTTCCTCCTTCTTGCAGAAAAATGCTACCGTGTCTGGGCTCGCGTTGTGGAAATTGGTCCATGAATTTTTGCAATCCAGATATTCGTAGCATTTCAGCTTGCATGGGGGCGTTTGTCCATCCACCTCAACCAGGAAGAAGAGGGTACCCACGAAAAACATGCAGAGAACGAGACAGGCCGCTGATTTCATGTTGATCTCTGGCACGAGAAAACGACAAAAAGTTTATGTAGCTTTGAGCAACAAATTGTAATTTCAAAAGACAAATTGTTGGAAATATTTTTTTCCTTTTTTTTTACCAAATTTCAGCTTAATAATCGAAAATGTGAATGTTTTTGAATTTATTCTTCTTGGCAATTGAATGCGGAGAAGTTATGTATGTATGTATGACGTGTAGTTATGTGCGGATTTTGGAAACGAGAATTTGTTTTTATACGTTTTGCAGTGAATATTTGTCTTGGGTTATGACAAGTACATATGCGCATACAAAGAGGTGTATACATGTTAGTAAAATTGCATAGCCTAAATAAACTAAATTATGTACAACTTAAATAACATTAGTTTAAAACGTAAAAATTTGAGTATGGATCGATTTCCTGTTGTCATGAAGGGTTAGACACAAAGTTTAATTGAAGTGTTGTATTTACATTGCTGATGCCGAATTTGAGATAATATGCGACAGATATGTATGATTACATAAATTAATACAGTGCACCCATGGGATAACAAATTTTAATGAACCTTCCTCATTTCATCCAATATTGAACCTATGGATATTTAGCACTGATTGTGAGTTTCAGAAAATAATATTGTTGTCTTTGTTATTATTGACATTAGTAGGAACCAAATATTGGAAGGTAACTAATTGAAAAATTACTCAGACTCACATATTTATATAACAGTCTGATTCATAGCTCGCAATAAATTGGCCCATGGTCCATGGTCCATGGTCCATGGTCCATCACAAATGGTCCATGGTCCATGGTCCATCGATGGACCATCTGAAAAATGGTCCATGGTCCATGGTCCATCGATGGACCACCTGAAAATTGGTCCATGGTCCATCGATGGACCACCTGAAAATTGGTCCATGGTCCATGGTCCATCGATGGACCACCTGAAAATTGGTCCATGGTCCATGGTCCATCGATGGACCACCTGAAAATTGGTCCATGGTCCATCGATGGACCACCTGAAAATTGGTCCATGGTCCATGGTCCATCGATGGACCAATTTTTTTGTGGTCCATGGTCCATGGTCCATCGATGGACCATCCGAAAAATGGGCCATGGACTATCTGAGAATTGGTCCATCATATGCAAGTCCCGCGCCCTTTTTGTGTATGCATATGCAAGTGAATTTAGAAGTTTTAAAGATGACTGCCATGATTGAGTCAGTTTCAGTTCAAGGAGGACTGTGTAGGTGGTATTAATGATATTCAGATATAAGCAGGAATTTATTATCGATATTAAAAGTAGAAGAGATTATAAAATTTCCTAGTCAGCTTTCATTGAGGTCTTTTAGTATAAATAAAAACTTTCCTAGATTTTAAAATGATATTAAACTAAGTTCCCCAATCCGGATTGGGAGAACCTACTCAACATCTTCGATATCACTATCTTCGTCAGAATCTTTACAGCTAGAGTGCATTTCTTCTGATGGGTCAGATTTTGGAGGTTCTGGATTCGGGTCGTTGGAGGGATCAAGATCTGGGGCTTCAATATCTGAAGTGTTCTCTGAATTTCTAAAGTACTGACGACAACATAAAAGTTTTTCTAATGTGTCAGTCTTTATTGAAGCCCGTCTCGCTCGAGCGATTGCTCCTGCAATTGAAAACAGCCGCTCGACGTTCCCTGACGTAGATGGAATGGCCAAATATATTTTTGCCATTTTTGAAAGTGTTGGAAATCGTGATGATTGACTTTTCCAAAAAAGAAGGGGGGAATCCTCTTCATCTACAACGAGGGGCATTTTCAAATATTGATCAATTTCGGATATTTGGGAATACTCGGGTGACGTAACGGCGGTCTTAATTTTCTCAAAAAATCCTAGTTTTGACTTTTTTTTACTGGAGCTGCCGTAGCTTCTTGTTCAACTTCAACAGTAGAAATATAGTGTTCCATCATTTCATTTTTTAACATGTCAATCACGTTGTCACGGGTAGGGAATTTTTGTTCGAATGGTGTACCATTTGCATGCCCTGCAAATTAAAAAAATAACTCATTATATATATAGTTACTCCCAGCCCGGGCTGGGAACTATATATTTTATAATACGTGTAGTTTTATTACCTTGAAAGGGAAGAGTCTTTATGCGAGGGTCTAATACAGCTGCTAAAATATATGCTTTGCTGCTCATGGCGTCAATTGTAACTATATTGCGAGTTTTTCCGTCAGCGTTCAAGATCCTTTCCCCTCTATCCTTATTGGTGGTAAACCTCTGAACAACTGAAGTAACGAGAGAGGCTTTGAATCCCAGCAGTTGACTTTCGTGCTTAGTGAAAACGTGATTGTCCGCATCTGGAATAAAAAATCGTTTGATTGTTCATGTAAGCAGTCATAAAATAGTTGGGTTGTTTCATATTTAAGTAACCTTTCACGGCATCCAATAAACCTGGAATCACGAGTGAAGATGTTACGTCATCTCCCTGCAAAGCATCAGTGAGATTGGCAAACGGCTGTAGCAACTTCAAAATTTCGAACATCATTTCTTCCATCTCCTTGGTAATACATTTTGGTATTTTGCCTTTCCCTGATTTTTTTTCAGCTTTAGCTTCCTTCAAGATCTGGTTTATAGAAGAAATCATTGGCTCCTGAATTTAAAAAAAAACAACATTATATTCCCTGTCCGGACAGGGAATGAGATTTCTAAGTTTAAAAACACACCTTATTCTTTCCGTGGGTACATATCCTTTTCAAACAATGATATTGCGAATTCCACCTGGTTGTGCATGGCTTAATTAAGCTGAGATCGCCATTTATTTTTTTTAGTTTCGAATAATAATGTGTGCTTTTATGGAAAAATCTGACAATTCCATTAACATCCTTAATTAAACTGACTACAAAATCATTTTCCGATATGGCGTCACGGATGGCAAGTTGAAGCAAGTGTGCAAGGCAGGAATTTCTTGGTAAAGCACTAGGGAAACCACAATTTTGTACGTTGGGTAAGGATTCATCCTCGTTTTCCTCGTCGGGTTGATGAAACCATTGACTGTTTTCGTCGTCTTCGTCTACATCAATATCTTTAATTTTGAAGGCCGACAGGATATTGGATGCGTTGTCAGCGGTTATAGTGGAAATCTAAAACAATCAATAAAATATATCATCTACTCGGCTCGGATAAGCTTCCAAATCCGGATTTGGTTGGTAAGACAGAATAGCCAACCTATTCTCTTCTTAGACCAAGCTCGGAAAATAAATACTCCTCGACCTTAATCTTAATGTTTTCTGCCGTGTGGGAGTCAGAGAATTCTTTAAATCCCAAGGTAGATTGACAAATCTTCCAATCCTTCTCGTATTGTGCTGTAAATCCAATAACTGAAACTTTCTGTCTCGAGGTCCAAATATCCAGCATGATATTCAACGATTTTGGTGGCATTCGTCGAAGTTCCGCCTTAATATTGTTCCGCACCTTAATTAAAATATAATAATAAACAAATTTTCCTTAGCCCGGGCTAGGAAAAGGTTATAATTTCGAGAAAATTGTAACTCACCACTTCGTACTTCTTTTCTAGATCATTCCGAACTGTGGTGGAGCATGGAACGGTTAGCTTCGGGTCGGCGGTATAAATCATATTTCGAAAGCCTTTTCCTTCAACCATTGAAAATGCAGCCGTATCGCGCACCACGAATTCCAAAACACTTTCTTTAAATTTAATTTGCTTCGTATCATTACGGGGATACTTCTCCACCGCTTGTACGAACTTCGGTTTTGGTAAGATGCTAGCACGAACGGAGGATTTCTTGGTAGATGCCTGTTCAAGGGCTTTCGCTTCGTTGATATCCTTCTGATAATTTTCGTTAACTTGCTTATGCTTCTGAAATTCAAAAAGTAATGAAATCTTAATACCAGATTAAATTATTTTTTCCTGTCCGGACAGGAAAAATAAACTTTTATTTAATTTTTTACTGCTTATTTTAAAGATAGAATTAATATTTAATACCTTTAAATGATCGGCAAATGCATTAGCACCTTTATCACTGTAAATAGTACTGCACGATCTACATCGCAGCTTATACCAGAGTCGACTGCGCTGTCCTGATTTTTTAAACTGCTTCTCAATAAATTCAAAATATGGTAATAGTAACGATGCCCATTTCGGATGTCGTATTTCTGGACTTTTGGGGGCGGCATCCTCTCCAAATGATATTTTAGGTTGTTTTAACTCAGCCATGGTTATCAAAACAGGAATAAAGTCAGATAAAAGTCTAATACGAGCGAACCTGGAGCCCAGCCCATCTAGAGGAGCTCGTGCAAATGGCAGAAGCGTGGACAGCGTGGGATTGGTGTGGTATATAAATATTCCGCTCCCCTGTAAACCAAATGATCCCACCAGTCCGGACTGGGAAGAGTGATACATTTTCAAGGATACATTGAGACAATATAATTCAAAATGAGAATCTTATAATAATGAGAGAGAATATTATGTATATGATTAATTCATGTGACTTCATTAATATGAATCCAGGTATGAAAAAATATACATGCACAAATTAGAATAAAGCTGGATGTAATCATTTAATGTTGTAAAGCCCAAGAATATATAACATATACTTTCATATATTACATTACAAAGAACGGAAGCTAATTTATAAATTCAGTGAAAGTGAAAGTTATTCCTAGCCCGGGCTAGGAATAAAAAGCTCTTTCAAAAACTAACGACGCTTTTTCCATGATGTCGTCGGTTTTTTTAAGAAATCATCATCACTGCTGTCGCTATCAGACATGCCACCTGGTCTTATGCCAGCTAACGGAGCTAATGATGACTTAACAGTTGCCTTGCTATGCTTTGGTTCGGGATACGCTGGTGGGGAAAGTGTAGATGAGGAATCCATCCGATAATCTTGAGGAAATTTCTTAGTTTCCTTTGCCTTTTGGTTAGCTTTCTTTTGCTCTCCCCACAATTTATATACCTCATCAGCAGTCATACCATAGTTTTGCCCAAATTTCAAAGCTTTCTGTCGATTTCTTTCTTCGTGATTTGCTTTGTTCTGTGGAAGGGTCCGGGCCTACTTAAGCTTTTCTTTATCTGGTGAAAACGGGCAACTTAATCCCTAAAAATGCAATTATAAAAATTTATAATAAAATTTATAATTCCCGATCCGGATCGGGAATAAGCGCAATATTGAGCGCATGAACTTACAATGTGTCCAATTTCTCCACAATTTCGACACTGGATTGTATTCATTTTGTCTTTCTCAGTTGGATTCAGGAACTGCAGTAGCCTTGCGTCTGCTGATTTATAATTTGCTTTCATTCCTAGTGCTACAACTTTGCTTTGCACGATGTCAGCCCCCACTTCTGTCAACTACAAATGTAAGACAGTATCATAATTAAATCGTCATATAAAATAATTAATGCACGAATAACCCACCTCTTGCTTGCCTAGCCAAACAGAGAGATTTGTAATCTGAGCAAACGGAAGTATTTGCTCGGGTTGCCAGTCAAGATTTAATGCCAAGTGCTTTCTCCAATCAATAATCGCATCGGTTATTGCATCGTGTGACAATGGCTTCTTTACGTCAAACTTCCGCAGTGAGGGATTGACGATCAACTTTTTGGATGAGATAAGCACTGCTTTCTTAACGCCATCCAGTCCCAACTATGACAAATATATTTAAATTACTGAAATTTCCCAGCCGGCTGGGAATATTATTTAAATATGGTACTCACTTTATCATACAACGAGTAAAATATTCTTAATGTATAATAGGCATCTTTTGCTGCGTATGCTTGCTGCCGTTGGGTCAAATCCCTAATTCTCCAATCTGTGTTTGTCATTTTCTTGTCCCGAAAGTTAAAGACATTCATCATAAATGCGAGTCCAGGTGCATCATACTTGTTGAAAAATTCCTTTAGCGCGGATGTGGAAGAATTCTAGCCCCTCTCTGATGCCAGAGTTTTTAATGCGGGGAGGCAAGTCTGGAAGCAATTATTTATATCTGCATTCCTCCATATGATGAAAAGGTCCTGAATATCCAGCACCAATCGCGGAAAGCAATTATAGTCCTTTTTCAGTCTCAGGATGTCATTTTGGCAGCCACACATAACTTTGAGACTTTCTTCACTTTCCATTAAATTTGAAATGATGTCTCGCATTGTGGGTGAATTCTTCCGTCGATCGGTAAGACAATCAAACACTAATGTTGTTTCCGGTGAGGCTAAGGACCCGACCGCAAGAAATCCTATAAACTCCCGGCCCGGGCCGGGAGAAAGTTTTATCATTACAAGTTATGTCACAAAAATTCCATGTTATAAATAGTTAGTACCATCATAACTTTCTTCAATATGGTACTCAAAGTCCACTGCTAGGACTGGTAAATTTCCCAATCCAAGATTATTCATGGTTTGATACATCTCAATTCCATCTTTCACCCACGTGACCATATTCGTCGAAAATTCCCTAAACTCGGGAATTGGACCTAGCGTCAATGACTCAATTCCTTGTGTGATTTGGTACGCGTAGTCCGGGGGAGGGAGCGGTGTCAGTTGTAGATTCGTTTTCAAAACCGTTCTACGAAAATCCGTATTGGTCTCTTGTGGTCGCATCCGGGTTTTCGACGCTGAAATTGAGCACATTGAAAAATTTAAAATTATCCCAGCCCGGGCTGGGAAACTCTCTGTGACTTATTAAGTAAATTATTAAGTAAATTATTAAGTAAATTATTATTAAAACTTACAATCCATTGCAGTGGGCCCCTGTGAGCTTTCTTGAACTGTAAATTATATATGTTTTACATTTGCAAGGGAGGCAAGTGAATGTGTGATTTGCGAGTTTGTTTTTGGCTTTTCAAACCCAAATACTGAATTTGCCGGGAACGAAACCACCACCACTTCTCACTTTGGTTCTTATTTCATGAAAGCAATAATGGTCGATGGTCCATCGATGGACCACTTGAAAAATGGTCCATGGTCCATGGTCCATCGATGGACCATCTGAGAATTGGTCCATGGTCCATGGTCCATCGATGGACCATCTGAGAATTGGTCCATGGTCCATGGTCCATCGATGGACCACCTAAAAAATGGTCCATGGTCCATGGTCCATCGATGGACCAATTTTTTTGTGGTCCATGGTCCATGGTCCATCATGGACCAATTTGGTCCAGTGGACCATGGTCCATTGCGAGCTATGGTCTGATTAATGTTATGTTATTTATTTATTAACTTATTTACATATTTATTTACATATTTATTTATTTCATACAATGAAAATACCCTAGATAATTGGGTCATTACGTTTCAAGGAAAAAATGAATCTAAAACATATGAAAAATTACCTACACACATAAGCATATACTAAATTTCCTACATGTACAATGTAGGCGTCGGAATGTATGAAAAGTGTGCTGGCGGCTTTGTGGAACCTGATGAACTATTTTGGCAATGTAGATAATTGTAATCTTGTCCGTATCGGTCCATTCGGGCCGGCACTATTCACAGGTGGGTTAAATGTGTGCCATTTTTTAAGAGCCCTATTAAATTGCAAATTCTCACATTGTGGTATCGAGAAGTGTTCACTACGGGCTACATAAAATTTATAGTGCACTATGTCGGGAAATTTGAATTTCATGGATGCCCACACTCTTAGAAACCTAGTACTAAAATAACACCAAGCGGTATTCATTGTAATAGCTGAGAAGTAACTAAATCGTTAGCTAATTTTTAGGGACCAGTGTAGTTTTAATACCAATCGGTATAGTGACAAATTTAATACCGAGACATCAATACCTTGGTGACAATGTCAGATTTGTAACACTATATTTACTAATCCGCGTGGGTCCGATTTCTGTGTCTGTCCCGGGAACCGGAGTACAGCCCGTCCCGAAAAATAGTGGACCCTAAAAAAAAAAGGTCCGCCAGTCTGTATGGATTATCAATAACACCCCCCCCCCCCCCACCCCCCGAGACGTCGCACGCCCAGCTATAGTTGCGCTTCCGAAACAACTCAATACCGAGTCAGCTTACATATACATAAGCGCCCGGACACGGCGCCCTAGCACTAACCTAGCACTATCGGTGATTAATAATGCGCTGGAACTTTATTAAGCCGCCAACGCTATCGAGCTATTTAACTTGACAGAGCTAAATTAACCACCATGGTGACAAATAGGTCGTGACCGTCCTAATTTGACCTTGACGGCTATTTTTGATTATAGGGATAGGTAGACTACTATGTAGGTAGGTAGCGAAAATATAAAGATCTAAATATACAAAAGAAATAATAACTGTGATATGTGGTAATAGACATATTACAAAAATACATTTCCATGCTGGTGGAGGTCTGGTACCAATTGTAAGCTAGTTGACTGGTGGGTGAAAAATTATTTTTCATTTGTGATTATTTTTGCATGAGTTTCAATGGCTCCCATGCTCTTATTTCTGAACAATTAAAAATTAGCCAAAATAGGGGAAAACCACTTCATTCTTACCCGTTGATAGCTATAATTAAGGGACCCTGACATTAGAGTTTCAAAAAATCAAATTCCTATGCGATTTTGTGGAAAACTGTATCGTAAAAACTTGGTTTGTTTGATTTTTTCGTTAAAAAAATTGCCAGTTGAAGTGTTTGAAATCCATCTTGAACAAGTTTGATTTTTGCCAAATACAATCATAGTTATAAAATCAGCGTGCTGCGCAGGGGAAATTAAATTAAAGGATCAGCGGATTACGTTAGGTACTGAATTTTCAATGAAGTCTTCATTTTTGTAATTTTCAGTTATGTTTATAATTCTATTTTTTGCCTTAGACTATTCCAGAAATTTATCGAAATTATCAATTTGGTAACTTGTTCATAAAGTAAAACGTTCCTACAAGAAACGTTCTACCAGATACGGACAGACTTGGCTTAATCACTCCAAGTTTTAGTTGCCTGAAACTTATCTACTTGCTAGACCTTCTCACGATTCGCTTTGATGCAAGTACCTCTACATATTAGGCCCTTGCACTTTCTTATCATACAAATTCTTTTTTTTCATTAATAAGGATTGATGATTATGTAGGCTAGGATATTTTTAGACGTGGGCAAACGAAAAAAAAAGTTGTGAAAATTGCGCTCTTCTCATAAGGAGGTCTGAGGTCGTTATCTCGAATTTGGACCTGACTAATTTTAAAATACATATTCACCCTCAGAAAGAGGCACCACAATTGTTTGATTTCTCTTTAATGCATGTAAATATTTTCGCCAGTGGAGGAGTTTTTAAATAAAATTTTCAGCGAGATTAAGATCGAACGCTGTAAACTTTCGTATTTTAGTCCGAGTTCAAAAACAACACGCTCGCTCAGAATGTTATTGATCAATTCAAAAACATCACCTTAACTCACAAAAATAATGATTAACGCGGGAAATATCTGTACTTTCCATGTTCATACCATGCACATCGAACGTATTTCCAGGGCTTTCTAATTATCCACTTTTCTAATTAATTAGCAATTAGTAATTAGTTTCGAAAATTTTGATCTAATTAATTGTTTAATTAGTAATTACTTCTGAACAAGCAAACTAATTAATTTTTAATTAGCTAATTAATTACTTCTAATTACTGAATAATTAAGTTTGCCATATTCATAACTTTTTATGAATTAATTTCACAACATTTCAGCATGGCTAATGCCTAGAATAAGTCGTCTTTCAGCGAATGTAAAATGTTGAATTATTTTGAAATTTAGAACAAATTGCGCAGTACCTTGAGATGGCTGTGAAAATTAGAGCTGACCTTAGTTGTGCCGGTAATCGCTTTATTTGGACAAAATTTACAAGCAATGGTTAATTTGTTGCCGTCAACTTTTTTAAAAATATACCATCCATTCAGATTTTCTAACAGGTTTTTAAGGTTCTGTGCAAGAAAGTCCATTATACTCAAAGATATATCTAAAATATATTGCTATCTCGTTGTTTTCATACAAAGAAGTTGCAAGTTGCAAGTTGCAACTTGCAACTACAAGAGTAAAAAAAGCTTTGAAGTTGATAAAACACCCAAGGTACCATGGAAATACGGTATTTCCATGGTACTGACTTAGACTTGGTGTTCGCCGAACTTTTGAGGGTATATCAGTAGAAACGAACCGAACCTGAAGCGCATATACTTAGCTAGGCTGCAAGTACAATTTGGTCAGATTTCAAAATTTTCGAGGTACGGCTCGGGTACGGCTCGGTCAATTAAAAAAACAGACGGAGTCATTCAGTGGTAGTCTGAAAATTTCGCTGTGACAGAAAAATGACTTATTTTCGTTCAAAAATTGGCCGTTCATGAACCGATTATGCTAAAATTATGATTGTGTGCTTAAATTGTGCCCAGATAAATTACGCATCCTTCGTTGGCAATCTTTTGTAGTAGGAGTTAGTTTTTAAGCCATTTATGTACATAGCATTAATCATGATTTTTCATATTTGAATGCTTTATTTTCATTTTTCACCGATAGCCTGGATTACCATTCAAAATCAGATTGCCACCGATGTCTGCGTAATTTATCTGGGCACAATTCAAGCACAAAATCATAATTTTAGGATGATCGGTTCATGACCTGCTAATTTTTGAACGAAACTAAATCATTGTTCTGTTACAGCGAAATTTTCAGACTACATACCACTTACCTTTACCTGATCAAGTTGGTGTTGCTTAAAAAAAGTATGTTCAAAGTTATAATTTTCTAGTTCAGCCTTCCCAGATATTTGCAGCTTGTGAGCGAAGACCAGAAACGTTTACTAGTTTTATGGCCACCACGAGTAACTCATAATCTCATGAATAAGGTTCATTTGCTCCTTCAAAGGATAATCTGACATTTAAATTTGGAAATAAGCAAGTTGCAGTAAAATTTTGCACCCGATTAAAAATGTACACATGTGACTTATTTGTCACGCATCTCACGTATTCCTAGAATTAAAATTCATGTTGAACCGCATTGTGTCCAACACCAAACTTTAGTGTTGGAATTTTTCAATACTTTAAAATCTGCAAAAAATGTCACAAAGTAAAAAATGGTTGTATTTACAAATACAAAAGTTCAAATAACTCTAGAAAAAGTTTTTTGGGAGCATTAGGAATTAACTAAAATATATATGTAACGCAAACATAAATTTTAGTATAATTTATAATTCAACTTTATGTGGAAACATACAGAATTTTACGAACATGGTTGCGTTTAAAACAAACTATTGTGTTAATACTTTCCCATGGAAATGCAATCTCCTCGTATTCTTGAACAAAAACTCATTACAAAATAACGAATTTATTTAACTTGAGAAAGCCCAGTACCAGGGTTCGGAAAAACGAAAGGGTTTCAATAAAAATTGAGAACCCAGGGGTTTAAACGGGCTTAATGATTCTTTCGGTTTTTATTCAGTTTACTGGGTTTTGATTTAAAACTTGTAAAGTTTTCAGCACCAAACTCTGCAAATTTTTGCAACTATTACTAATCCAATTCCAGAAAATTCAATGTATAAATCCTATTTCTCCATCTTAGAAATTGCGTATGTTCTGAAATTAATTTTTATGACGCTGGATGGCAAGGGATGTCTATTGTTGCTGTTTTTCTGGGTTTTCAAGAATTACGATATTAATGAAATAAACTGCTTGGCTTTAGTGATACAACTTCGTCAACAACCTAATGCATGAGAGGTGTTGCCAATGTTTAGGATGAGGTTTTAACGCAGAATCTAGTCAAAATCCAAATACAAACCCCACTAAACCTCACTAAAACCCAAAATACCCAGACCAATATAACCTTGGGTCAGAATACCGTGCCCGGTACAGGCCTTACAAGGGAATGGTACGGCTCCTATAGAATACGAAAGCACATGTATATTTGTAAGTTCGCGTTAAGCACGCGTACACAAGTATTATGCATACGGGTCGTCTGTACTGTTCTATTTAAAGAAACCTCAAATCTGAAAAAATTGTATCTCGGGAAAAATAAAATATTTTCCGCGAATCGCCGATAGCATGAGGTACAAAATTTTCCGGGAATGAACTCTCCAGTTACACATTTCCCGAAATTTTTTAGCGGGGGGGGGGGGGTATCGGCGTTTCCCGGATTTTGCCCGGCACTGTCCCGGCAACCGCTGGTTGCACGGTTGCACAACAAATCGAACCCACGCTAATCCGGTGACAATTCTGCTCCCGTATTATGTCAAATGTTGCTAATTAATGACACGTGTTTCAGGAAATGGATAACTTGACGTTGGATACAAATATATCGAACATTGAAAAGTTTGAGAGGTTGAGAAAGAAGTTATATCCAATACAAAACTTGTAAACCTATCAGAATGCATTCTTGCATCCTGCTTTGGTTCATGGATTTATCTGTCTTCTAGACAATTCCTACAAATTTTGGAAACACGTTTGGTTAGATCTGATTCAGAAATTTTGGAAAATCTCATGTTAACAAAATTTTAAGCACGTATCGCGATAAATTTCAAGCGATTAAAACATTTTTATTTGAATAATTGTTTAAAATTTCACATTCATATGAATGTGAAATTTATGCATGCACAAGTCATAGAAAATGTAATATTCCGAAGTTAATTACCACTTGAGTGTGATAATTAGCAAATACACGCACAACTGCACCCGGGCGCAATTTGTTCCTTCTTGCAGAAAAATGCCACCGTGTCTGGGCTCGCGTTGTGGAAATTCGTCCATGTATTTTTGCACTGCAGATATTGGAAGCATTGCGACTTGCATTGAGCCGTTTGTCCGTCCACCACTTCCGGGAAGAAAAAGGTGCCCACGAGAAGCGCGTTGAGAACAAGGCACGCCGTTGATTTCATGTTAATCTTCGTCCTGAGAAAAAGAGAAAAAGTTTAGTTTTTAGCAAAAAAATTCAAAATTGCAAGAGCAAAATTTTCGAAATATTTTTCCGTTTCTACCAAATTTCGCTTCCTAATGGAAATTGTGAATGTTTTTGGATTTATTCTTCGTGGCGATTGAACGAGAAGTGAATTGTGTATAGATTTTGGAAACGAGAAGTCAGTTTTATACGTTTTTCATTAAGTATTCTGTACTTGTCCTTGAATTGTTGACAATTGTGTTTGCATATTTATGTTTTTGCATACAAGTCACAACTGTATATTAGTTCAAAAAGTAAAAATTTGAATAAGAATGGATTCACTCTTGTCCTATAAGGTATTAAGCACAACGTTTGATTGCAGTGTGGTATTTACATAGTTGACGCGGAATTTTAGGTACTCATGTGACAGGTATGTATGATTAAATTACAGCAATGCAGTGAAATCACGGGATAAATTTCAGTGAAACTTGCTCATTTTATTTTTCAATACCAAGGACATTGTTATCCAATATTGAAACTACAGATATTTAGCACAGATCCTGAGTTCCAGAGATAAATATTGTTGTTATTATTATTATTGACATTAGTAGGAACTAAGTACATATAGCAAAGTAGTTAATTGAAAAGTTACTCAGACTCATACCACAGTCGGATTCATGTTATGTTAATGTTTACCAAGTAATTTGACGCAAACATATGCGAATGAATACTTAAATCTGTTTGAAAAGAAGTTAATTTTTCACGTTGTTTCGTAGATTTATTCTTGACAGGTAACCTAATCACGAAATAAATCGAATTTCACAGAAGTTCATGGGCATCTGGTTTATTTTATTGCTTTATTATTTTCAACCTACCTATTTAATATTGGATCCCATTACCAAGCTTGTACACAAATACGTAGTAACTTTTGATACACTGTGAGGAGAGTATCTACATATGTAGGAAATCTACTTAGCTGATACGTAAATTACAAGCCCAGACCCAGAGGGTAGAGTTCCCCACAAAAATTGTTTCCACTTGACGCCATGTTTTCTTGTACATAACACCTGAATCGCATTGTTGTCATAGCTTTCATAAATTTATTCCACACTTAATTAATTTGAATTTGATTTCATTTAAAATACTCCAAGACCGCTCCGCTCCACGCACCACCCCACCAGACTGATTTCTAGAAAAATAAAATTGTTTAATTGAATACTTTCCTCAAGCCCGAACGGACGTGGCTTACAGAGATTTCTAAAATATCTCAGAATAATCTATAAATTTCTCTTATTTCCCAAATTTGGCATATCTCTTTCTCAATAACGTCTCATTTCGAGTGACCTTTCGTAAACGAGGGCATAAATCTCCGAATCTCCCCAACAGGGTATTCCGACCCAGGGTTTTATTAGGTTGGGTTTTTTGGGTTTTAATGGTTTTAATGGGTTGTTAATGAATAAAACCCATTGAGTTTTACCATGTTAAATGGGTTTTATTTGGGTTTTATTGGGGTTTAATGGGTAAAACCCTGGGTTTTTCCGAACCCTGATCCCCAATACCATTTTTTCGCGGGATAATTTTTCCTCGAGTATTCATAGTAAGCGTCAACCTCATTCGACGTTCCGAAATGAAATAGGCTAATCTGTCTGCTAATATTTCCTGCTCTATAACCCCATTTACAATTACCGCGTTAATGCTAACCTCGTCCAAAAATTCCAAATATTCATTCATTCCCATAGTTTCGCTATCCGAACTATCTCTCTAGTGAATTCAACCTGCAAAATTCCAATTTCGTCGCTTACCCAACGAAATATAAATATCTATGACATTATTTTATCAGTAAAAATGCATGTCCGTGAACTTACCCTTCCACCATTATCCCCCACATATTCGCAAAGCTGAGCATACATGTATGTATATCTGTATATGTACATATTTTGATATTTATATGTTTCAAACTAGGTATGTATATGTACATATAAAAACCCAGAATTGGACTTGGAGCCCTGAACTCTTCGGCCTTCAGCATGACAAAAATTTGCTCACAAATTCAGGTCAAAGTTGGCAAAAACCAACATCTGCGACAGCTAAAGGCGTGCCTAACGTAAAAATAAATATTCGTCAATGTTTAGTTAACAAGAGAAAAATGTCGTCCATCTGTATTTCCCTGTTTATGGAGATGAGAAAATTAAATCTATTCTGCTACGTATACTAATATTAATACCAACTGATTTCCAATTTGCCAGTTGCCTCACGAAGTATTTAGTTATGGGTACGTTCATAAATTATGCAACGAGAGAGGGTAGAGGGGGGTATCTGGCTGCATTGATATTGTGCATATGTAATTTTCCGCTATATAATTTAAGAACATTCCCCGTTGAATGAACTACTAAAATAAACACATCTCTCTGCTTATTACCAGCAAAACAATGGATACTATGTGAATAAATTACACAAATTCGTACACATTTAGTAGAAAGAGTTTCCAATAACCTAGTGATTATTTTGTCTCACTTGGTCAATTGGTTATTGAAGCTTTCCAGCGTGGTCTGAATAAATACGACGGATCGCAATCAAAATGCGGGTTCCAACGCTATTCGCGCACAGTGATAATAAAATTAAAACATTCGTATTAATTTGCATGGTACAGTAAATCAAAATAAACACGATAATTGCTACTTAATTCTTGTAAAATTCAGCTAAATACTTAAAACAATTATATATGTGCCCACCACGCCACAGATATTCAGTTTGAGGTCGACTGAAGCCATTTCCGTGGAGCAGGATGAACCTCGCATTGTAAGTCTAACAATGGACGTACTGACTACAAACTAGATAGGAAATTGAACATTTATAACTCTACAAAATGTTTCGAAATTGAGAGATTTCAGAGAACAAATTATTGCTTGAGTTCTGGTTCTAAAATTTACTTAGAAAAAGTACTGTTCTAAATATTTGGGGAAATTATTTAGCAACTGGGCAAATAATAACCGGCCGGCTTGCAAAATAATTTTCCGCAACAATTGCCGCAAAAAAATTGACCGAATGATACGACAAGTACATAATAAGACATTAATAAATACATAAGACCTTGACGTTCGTACTCCTTGATAACTAACGTTTTGCGAGGTACAGACATAGGTATGTAAATACTGCATTCTAAAAATATACTTAAATTATTAATCAGGTCGTAAAACAAGAAGAGTCCAGCGAAGCCATCCAGACGATTGAAACGGTTGGAAATTTGATTACCAACATATTCAAAGGAATCGCAGAAATTCCAGCGACTTCTATAAACGCCGTGCTGAAACCATTTCTTCCACAAAAAGCCGAGACGACTAGTACGCCTGCGCCAGGAATAAAACAGTCAACAACGACGCCTAAAAATTCGAATGCATCTGCATCAACGACAACAAATGAAACAGGGACTCAAACCGAAGAACAAGAAGATGTTGAAGGCGAGGAGGAAGAGGAAGGTGACACGGATTCAGATTCTTGATTTGTAAAAAAGTAAAATTGTGGAAAAATAAATAAACTTTATAAGTTCGTTACACAGTTTTAGTCTGTTTTACATGGCGAAACTAAATATACAAGTTAAAATTTTGATTGTGCACAACTTCATATTTAAAAAAATTTTAATGTCTGAAATCATTTATTTATTGTTTGTGCCGAACAAATGTACAACATTTATTACCGAAAAAATATTCGTCCACATTTTCAGTACCAATCTAGCCGGAATCCTGTCGCTGTTTCGCTCGCGTCACTGCGGAATATTATGAGACCAATGCCAGCCTCCAGAGTTATCGGTGGAGGCGTCATGGTTCCACAAACCCTACGAAAAAAATAATATATGTCATAAATTCAGATCAGAGGTCAACGTCGACCAATCTTGGAGTGGCGCCAATCTTGGCGATTTTTCTATGGCGTCGGCGGCGTGGTACGGCGCCACGTAAAATGGTACCGACATTCGACAGGCGCGTTCGATTGGCTCGTCGACCTCTGATTCCGATAATCCTTACTTTAAATTAAGCTTTTAGACATACCTGGCCGATTCGACATATCCATTATCCACCCAATGTATAACGGTAACCGAGTCAAAGCGACAATTCGAACCGTCCTCGACATCCATGTCCCAGAATCGTAAAGTCTTTTCCCCCCTTTGTGTCGGCACAATGGCGAACATGACATTCTCATAGTTTCCATAGTTGCCCCCAACAGTGGGGTGAATCACCTCGCCAGCACTATATGGAAGTGGCGTGTATCCAGTAAAATTCAAGGTTCGATCTAACACGCCGCTGGAAAAGATTTCCAGCTGGATTTCCCGCGCTAAATCGGTGCCAGTCGCGAACAATGTTATCAGGGAAGAACCTTGGTCTACAGTGAGGTTTTGATCGATGGAATCACTGTATAAAATTAATTGGAGCATATCTTATAAGTCGCCAATGTGTAGTTTAATCAGGATTTAAACGAGAACTCGATGTCTTGTCACTCAAATCGTCAGAGTATGTACACACATTTTAATTAGACATTTCTGTGCTTGGAAAAATTGATTTTAAAATTCTGGATGACAAATCTGTAGTCAGTACTTTGATTAATAAAATGGCCATGAGACTTTTAAGTGAAGGTCTAGAAAATTACCAAAATCTGGAGTAAATACTTGTAAAAAAATGGCAACGCTCTTCATTACAAATTTTTCGTCCAGAATTTTTAAATACATTAATTCCAAAAGCCGATAATCAGTAAAAATGTGCTGATTTTGCAGACATGTCATCGTGTCCCACCTTAAGCATCACTTACAATTTTTGATGAGAACCTGGGACACCATTCGGAAAGCTGGTGACATATATTTCATCGGTAATTTCTGCACTGATCAGTCTGAATCGTAACTTATCGTATGGCGCTTTCACTGTCCAAACGCATTGCTGTCCTGTGGGAGAAATTTGTACCGAAATCAGGGCAGAGGTCGCTTCAATTATCCCGCCACAAGTGGGAACAACTTGAACTGGGGTGGCGTCCTCGTCTCGTGGGATTATGGACGCACTAATCCAATCGATAAAGTGGGACGTCTTTGTATACACGCCGGGATGAGTGGACCTCGCACAACCCGTGCTGAAGGACACTATTCCGCATAACGTTTCCCCGCAGATGAGTGGACCACCAGTGTCTGAAGAAGAAGGTGGGAAATTTTAGTAAATTAGGTGATTATGCAAATATAGCATCACTGTAAAAAATCCAGTACTAAAGTAGTACAAAGCCGTACTCATAAATATATGACTCTACGATAGTGGAATTGATAAGAAATGGGGTATAGTAGTAGCTCGATACTAAAATTTTAGGGTTTCGCCAGCAAATTTTTACCAGGATCAGTGTAATTTAAATACCAAGCGGTAACAACTTTAATACCAAGAAATGAATATGTACCTCCCTGACTATATTAATACCAGATTTCTCACAGTGATCAATATATTATGTGAATAAATATGTATGGATAACCTCCAAGGCAAAAATCCTTCCCTTCCTCGCCATAGCAAAGCATGGATGTGGTTATGGAATTGTTGTAAGCAGTGTTACAAACGTCGCTAGGAACGAATGGGACATCGACCTTTATCAGAGTGAAGGGTGGTTCTCCATTGAATTCGGAGAGGAGGCCCCATCCCGCCACGGTTCCGAAAGCTAAAGAAAATAAGATTTAAATATTTTCTACGCATTGTAAATGTATAGGGGTATTCATTACGAGTTCGCATTTTCACATCGTAAAATAATGTTGAAAAAATTGCGAACAAAAGATATTAGCTTTGGAGATGCGGAAGTTTTTTGCAAACTAGGAACTTTGTTTTTCTGCTAATATTCCTTGTGATGGGATTTCGTAATGAATACCCCCAATGTTCAACGGGTACCTGTCGGTGTAAAATTAGCATCTTGTGGGAGAAGAATTGGTTGCACGAATTCGTTCAATTCGAACGGTGGGAAGACTTTCATTAAAGCGATGTCATTCTCATGCTCCACATTTCCGGGGCTAAATACGTAACCGCATATTAATCAATCAATTAACGAATTTACATACGTAAATTAACAAAATTTCTAAACTTGCACGTTATAACGAGGGTGAATTATGACATCGATGACCTGTCTGTTCTGCTCAGGGCCTTCGTTAATCTCAATATTGTGATCTCCTGCGGTCACATAGTAGTCTCCACTTTGCCCACACAAAGCGGAAGTGAGGACCCACTCAGGGCTTATTAAGGATCCTCCGCAAAAATGGAAGTCACCGACGCTAATGTCCACCAGGAATTTAAACTCGTTGCGATCCGCTTCAATACCGCCTACAATTCGACCAGAATTTCTTCTGGGAGTTGGATTCGGGTCGGCTAAGTTTTTTTTAGAGATTTCATTAAAACGAAGGGTAGAAAATTTAAATTCTTACAAAATTACCATGTGCCGAAACGACCAAAAGTATCACAAAATTCAGTGCGAGCTTCATTCCGAGTCCGTGTTGGGAATGCGACGAGAGAATGAGATGAGAGATTTATTTCTGTAATAAATTTTTTATCTAAACTCATCCGTACAATCTATGTAGATATCCTAAACATGCTCGAGATATCGACCGATTTACATTTTTCAGTTGGAACAATGGGTTTATAACATTTGGCATTTGAGTGATCAGAGCTTATCACTAGCGAAAAATTGAGTACGTACGCATTCGTGAATATGTACAATTACATAACCATACTATTTATATCATTATATATGTAACTCGGTTTTGACTTTTGTAAGTAGTAATTACATACATGAAACTTTCGGCATTTATAATTCCACCCCCACACTCACCCAAATGTTGCTTTTAAGTAAACTACAATAATACATATTCATCGAGAAGGTACACTATTAAAAATGTGGTGAAGTCACATGTGACTTCACGGGGCGTATATGCATATACGCCCCGTGCTGGTATTGATTTGGTAATAACTTCCTCTCGGATTGGTAATAGTTTGTTTCAATACAATTTTGCTAATAGTGTAGATATCTATGAATAAGTGATGAAGTAAAAAAAATTACATATACCGTGTCAACTAACACATTCGTTCAACCTAGTCCTTGTCCCACTCTTTTATTTCCTGTTTTTCGCTGAAATATTATTTATATACACAAACACAATCTGATTGGTTTCATTAATAATCAAAATCTTAAAGATGTAATTTATGCGTATATCTATATCAGGACTACATAATTAATCAATGCAAATAAACCCGTCAAGTAAGCTTACCAAGATATGCCAGAGATACCAGGGGCGTCGGAAAGGTGGGGGCGTGGGGGCGCCCAGTGGGCCAGATTTGATAAATTTTGGCCGAAAATATATAGAAGCCGAATTTGAAGAAACAAGAATTAGATTTTGGTGCGCAACAATAAACTAAGGCATATATTATGTTAGGAAATTTTTAATAGTCACATGCCACACCCCCAGTGGGTGTGGCCCTCGGCGACTTTTCGGTTTCAACGAAACCATGTCATATGATATATCATTTTTCTCAGCTGGACGAGGTGGTTTCGACGGAATACATAAACTTTGGAAACCGAACCCCCAGTGGGCGTGGTTCTAAGCTAATTATCGATCTTAACGAACCCGTATCAAGTGATACATCATTTTTCTCAGCTCGACAAGGGGGACTTGACGGAATACCTAAAATTGGGAAACCACACCCCCAGTGGGTGTGGTTCGCAGAAACTGTTTTTCGATTTTAATCAAACCATGCCATGTGTTATATCATTTTTCGCAGCTCAACAATCGGATTTCAACGGAATGAAACGGCCTAAAATCAGCCTTCAGCGACTTTTCGATTGGAACTATACCATGTCATGTCATGTCATGTAATACATCATTTCTCTTAGCTAAACGAAGGGATTTCGACAAGATATATCAATTGCATTGCGTAAATTAAGAAAATCCCACTTTGAAAAATTGAAAATTTTAATTTTTCACAAATCTCACATTTCTCGCTGCATTTTTTAAAATTACGAAATATCATACGCAGTTTTAAATTTTTAGAAATGTATTTTTATAATTGTATTTTTAGTAATTTTTGAGAAAAAATGTTTTTGCTCTTTACTTTTTGATGTAGAGTTAAAATTATAAACCAACAAACTTTTTGACAAATTTAAATTTGAGAAGAAAATGCAGTCAAATCGCCACAACCGAAAACACTAGCGCTCATGGAAACAAAAAAATACAGGTGGTATTATTTCGGTGTGGGGGAAATTTAAAATCGTAGGACACAACTTTAAGTCGCTGAACACCACACCAACTGGGGGCGTGGTTTCAAAGTTCTAATAATTCTATCGAGATCCCCTCGTCGAGCTGAGAAACGTGATATAACAAAAGGGATGGTTTTATTATTAAAACCGAAAGTTTTCTTAGAATCACGCCCACTGGGGGTGCGGTTTCCCAATTTTAGGTATTTCTCATATTAAAAGTTTTAAAGATCCTTGTTACCACACCCCCTGCGTGCGTGCTTTCGAAATTTCGAATTTTCTTTATTTTTTTGTTAACCTCTACTTACCGAGTCATATATGCCGCATGCTAGGATTTACTAACTAAATTTTGGTCCAATTGACCACACCCTCGTGGGGTGTGGCTTCCACGTTTAGAAATGTTACTTTTATTGTGATCGTCTTGGTCTACCGAGCAAAATGATATGTCGCATGCCAGGGTTTACCTATAATGGGGGGCACTTGTAGCCCCACCCCCTGAGGGGGTGATTTTTGGATCTGGATGGGCTGTCGATGGACCCTCTTATCGTCCCCATCAAATCGATATGTCGCATGGTGATGTTTACCGCGAATGCAATTAAATGACACCAATTTAAGTCGTTACTTATTTCGTTATGTATGTGACTTGGAAGGGGTGTGGTTTCACTTGTGGTCGAAAGTGGCAGTTTCCGGCACCAGCATTTATTCTCCACACCAGAAGGTCTCGAATGGTATAGAAAGCAAGTTTGTAAAGCACGGATATGGACGGAAATGCTAAAGGGCGTTTTTCCCTATCTCCGCAATGTGTTTGGTAAAGTTTACTGGTACTCCGGAGTGGGTGTAACTTTTCACTTAATATTTTGCATTTAGAACAACATGGTAGTGTAGTCCATAATCGTATACGAGAGTAGTCAATTCAAAGTACTGCCTTAACGGCCACATTTTTGGCTCCCTGGCCCATAGTGGGGTGTGGGCGAACAATTACCCACGCAAAACTTCCGATCCCTTCAAGGTTAACTATTTTACAGTTTAATATAAAGTCAGGCAGAGCAGAGTGATATACAACTACACTCCCCGTAATTTGATGGTGTGATTGTTACCGGTCCAACTACTATGCATAAATTATTACTGCTTAGGTTATAGTTTATCATTATCACGCATACACAGAGGCTAAATAACTTTATGTAAATATACTGCGGTAAAATTTAGAAAACATGTGGCGAAAAACGATAGGTACATAGATGGATACAAATATTACAAGGAAAAAATCCGATAATATGTATTTTATGTACTAATGCGAGTGTGGTTCACGGGTGACTGAATTTACCCTAAGGAGTAGAAGGTCACTACTTGTCGGGCCCCGATTTCGATCTCCTTTGGATATGTTGTAGTACTACATGAGTGTAGAAAAAGTGAAGGAGGGTTAGACTCCATGAGCCCATTTACGCCCGCCACACCCCCTCAAGGCGACCAAACCCCCAGAGTTGCCGCACTAAAATCATCGCCAAAAATCGAGTTTTGGTCAGATTTTCAAAAAATTTACGTTTTTGTGATCCCAGATAGTTGCTTTATCATATCCAATAGCAAACTCAACTTTTTTGAAATTTTCAATATTTTCGAAAATTTTCTGACCAAGGGCCACAAGAAGCTGTTTTATTAAAAAGGATAACAACGTCGTCAAAGTAGAGGGTAATTAAGGTAATTAAAATGTTTCCCTGCATGTTGATCTCGTTTTTGTCGATGCCAAATGGAGTTGATCATATTAAACGAAAAAATGTGTTTATTGACAAAAGTGAAAGTGCGACAAGGAAAGCACGGAATGAAAATGCCCACTTGGCCGAAATATATTATTTTGGAGGTCCTCCAAACATCCGAAAGTTCGTAATTGTAGTAGAATAAGTGAGCCATGAAGACAAAGATGTATTCCGTCGTAGGGTCGACAAAGTCTTTGAATTCCGTGGAGAATAATAATGAGAGGTTTGAAATAAGTAATATTTCTGGACGAGGGGATTGTTTAAGATGGTTGACGTTTTGCAGGAGGGAAGTGTTACTAAAATTTAGTATAATTTTAACATTGTGATAGTACGAAAGGGGTAAGCAGTTTTGTAGAATATGTTCCCATTTATCTTCCTCTCCGTTGTTTAGTATGAAATAAAGGTCAAACTTGTCGCCGGCTAAGCTGATCGTAATTCTTATAGCCAGGACGATAAGAGGTATCGAGAAGGGATGCATTTTTTTTGACAAGGCAGATAGATAAGCGAAATTTCTGCAATTTTTTATTTAACGTCATTTCAGTTCGCTGCAAACCACAACAAGAAAAACAGGCCATATAGATATGTAAAGTTACAAATAATGGGATATGAAGATATATATATATTGAGTTGTACGTGCAATAAGCTATAAATTACACGGCAAACAAATACATAACATACACACTTGAAAATGTGGTATAAATATTCACTTTCGACGGAGAAATGTCATACCAGACGGTATTATTGTTTTACCCGATTTCCTAGATTGTACCCATTTGGTTTGGACCATGAACATGCAATCTTTGTTATGAAGAAACAAATTAACGTTGCATTTTCATACCAACGAAAGCAGTTATTTTATGGTAGGCGTTAACTAATTTTCCCAACATAATTGGATTCTTTATAACACGATTTTAAAACATTTTATCATGCAAATACGTGTTACCTAGCGAAATTTAAGCATATATAAAATAACTAATCTACATTATGAGCTTGAAATGTTAGCCGATCTGGCGTTTCAAGATTCCGATCTTAAAATAAAATTGTAAGGATGTCTTACTTAAAATAAAATTGCAATCTAATGTAATTGTAATTTTGATGTGCATATTTACTGAGATACATAATTGGTTAGAGGTGCTGGTTGTTGGAAATTATGATAAGATATTTTATGATTTATAATAAGTTGGGTATGATTGAGATTTTATGTTGAGCATGCCATCTACTGAGCATGCTTCCCTTGTTTTTTACGCAGTGTGAAAAAGAGTCAGTATGAGTTGAGAATTCGAGTTTGTAAGTTGAGTTGTGAATGTGTGCTCAAGTAGCCATTTTTATGTTGAGTTAAAATTACAAAGTTAATTGTTGTAATTATTGTTTGTCTTTGAGTAATTGGAATTAAAGTTGATTATTCATTATTGAAGTGTAGTCAACTCCAATGATTTATTTACTATTCAATCTATCGACCTCGGTTCACATTTTTTTAAGTTAAGTTAATGAGGAGAAACTTTCCTACGGGTAGTAGCCTTGCTTCTCAACAGGTGCTGGTATTACAGTCAATTTCTGGTTAAAATTGCGTAATCACTTTGACATCAACATACTTTGTAGGTTTTGAGCAGAACTTTTCGCACCAATTATTTACTGAGATATGTATAATTTGAATTGGCTGCATAAATTAAATGTCAAGATATATTTCACTGTTTGTTAGAAAAATTCCTGCACATTTATCGTTTGCACAAATGTCTTTGCATATTTGTCGTTTTCACATTTATCTTTGCACATTTGTCTGGCCACCTTGCCGAAGTGCCATGAAAACTCTGCCCTTTTCTGAAACCCTTTTGATTGCACACCTGCACTCAACCAGTAAAATTACGACCGCCACCGCTATAATCGTGGCACATAAACCGAGGACATAAAATAGCGCTGGAAACGCTTCCTCATGAGAATACGAGACTTGAACGTTTGCCTCTTTAAAGTTGGAACTTAATTGAATAAATAACTTTTTCGTCAAATCTGGTCCAAAATCCTTTATACGATATAACCTCCAAATCATCGTTTGGAGTGCTTCCCATCTCCCAGATATTCCAGATTCCGCCAATCTCACAATAAATTTTGATATTCTCGGCGAAATGAAATTGTGGCTGGCAATTGCCATCCCATTAAATACGAAGGGTAGATCGTGCATGCTGTCGACGACTAACCGCTTCCCAATTACCTTTATTAACGAGCTAAATACAATTAACCTGTCTTCCTGGTCGATAATTGTAAAGGTGGAATGAGTCGGAATTTCCGCATCTTTAGTCGTGATGATTTCCGACTTGGAAATGTTGCTCATAATCGCGGTAAGATTAGGGGTTAAGATTACCCGATGAACAAATGTTGAAAGAAAGGTTGCAAATTTATCCCCGCTTGGTGACGGATTTGCCTTAATGGATGCAAGTAGTAGGTAGTAGAGATTCTATTAAAGATACTGGCTGCACGCCAATTGTGCTGCTTGTAATTATTGGGAGATTAGATTTCGCTAAATCTTCCAAACTTCTGGGAACCACGGGAAAGGGTGTAACCGTCAAATCTGAGGTGACTGATCCATGGTAGAAATTTTGCATGAGAATATTGCACCCCAAAAACCATACAAAAAGCATGGGAACAGCTTTTCTCTGTTTTTGTAACGAATTCGCGATATCGCTACCATACTGACTACTCAAAATTGACGTAAATGTTATTAAATCCCGGAGGAATCTGGCACCATATTCTGCCTTGTCTTTAGGCAGATTGCGCATATCCCGGTAAAATTGAATTACAAGAGTTATTACAATGCAAAATTAAGATCCACGTCCAAACATCAAATGGGGTAAAAACGTTCCCAAAACTACTTTCCCCTTTGGGAAATTGTGTGATTATGGAAAATCTAAAACTCTTAAAACTTAGGATGAGTAAAAATTGTGTTCTCCATTTGTAAAAGTTTTGTAGGTTAGCATCATTTAAAACAGCATTGAAAAAAATGATCGATCCAATATTTTTTATCGCAGTATTCCCAATTAATCGTCTGTGTACTGTAGTGAAATTGAGTTGTTTTCCTATCATATAACTCAGACAATATGGGAAAGACTCCGTGGCGTGGAATTTACTTTCCACGCCATGCTGCATTAACCTAACCTAACCAAAACACAATTTATCATGTAGTGAAAATTTGTTACCCTTAAGGGAAAATTTTATTAGTGAGCTACGTGATACATACCATAAGGTTTTAGACAAATATAAGTAATTCGTATTGTACCACGGGGTGTTATTTTATTACTCGATTGCACACGTACTATCGAATTTTTATAGGCGGTCACCTCATTTGATAATTTGACGCATTCGCGAGAGACGAGTTTATTCAACACGGAAAGCCCGTATCGCCGAAAATGGGCACAGTGAGATTTATGCAAATGAGGTGACACGCCTAAATGCGAGGATAGTATACGTTCGTGTCCAGTTATACTCATACATGGTTGGACATATTTGTGCCATTTTACCATGTACGTACTGGTTATGCATGTTCGTCGCAAAGGTTATGCAAGTCAAAAATAATGGTATACAAAATAATGCTAAAAATAGCTTAGGTAAGGAAGGCTAAAAGGAGATAGCAAAATGTTACTGTCGTGTACCAAATACAAAAGGCGTTAGGACATGGTTTTGACGAATTCATACCTTAATTGCGGGATGGTTTTTAGTCGTAGAGATTTCTAACTTTTTTTATGTGAAAGCCCATGTCTCAAACTATAGGTAAGCATATCTGGCTTCCGATTTTGTGTACTCTGCGAAATGAGGCAAGGTCAAATTTGGAGAGGTGTCCTGTTTTAGTTTTCCAAACCAGTGTTCTTAAAAAATGGCGTTGAACAAAAGATTTGTTTATTAGGTCCTGATGCAAAATTCGTCTTTGCGACTACTATCAAGGGACTTAGCATGTTTTTCACTATATAAAACCACTTTTATCTCATGCTTATCTTTTAAGTCCCTTTTGTAGTCTAGCTTCATACTTGTCCTAATGGAATACTCTCGTGAACGCAACTCCTCGACTTTTAAGGCCCCCACATTTTACGACTTTGATGCTAAAAATCCCTAACGTGGTTTTTATCCAAGGTACATATAGTATATTGCACTGTAAGTACTTTTGACATAATTTTGATAAGTGGTTAAACCCCACGGACTGAGTTTTCATCAGACCTTATAAAATTTTTGGAAAAGTTCCCGTCGTTTTCGATGTCGAACTTCAGAAATAATCTAACTAACCAAAACGCAATAATTTTATTATTTTGTCACTTGTACCTTGTAGATAAAATAGTTCTGCAGTAGGGGACACAAAAAGATTAGTAAAATTTATTTTCGAAAAAAATTGATCATTAATTTTCCAAATAAGTTCACGAGTTTTTAGGATTCCGCGACAGCTGATTAGCTAGGGTCGTTCTCCAGAACTGTTTACACAAAATCTTCACTGTTTAATTTAATATTATTTGGGACACTTAGAGCTTTGCCCTCAATCTTCATTTGACCGAGTGGATCCGCTTTCAAGGTCAGCAGGTCAATTTTCCTGTGCACGGTCCGATTTATCAATTTTCATGAAAAAGTATCAGCGACGATGGAGGCCCAACGTTATGTAATTGATGTAGATTCTTTTATTATTACATGCAATGATTATCTAGGGTTGTAATATTAACAATCATTCACCTCTGACCTCATAGGTTATCATGCTATATGAGAAATTCAGTTTGGAAAGTGTTTTTTTGGCTCCTTCCAACTCTGGGGGCACTGGAGGGGGCATTTATAAAGCTATCGGCCTAAAATTTTAAATATATCTTTTTGAGAGTATTATCTTGCAACTGACCAAAAATCAGTTCAAAATTCAACTCCCCGCCAGAGATATTCACCCGCAAATTCGTCAAAACCATGTCCTAACGCCTTTTGTAATGAGACAAATCAGTGTTCATTAAACGGTTTCTAATCGTATGTTGGTCAGCGAATTATATAATATATTACGCTGGTCGGGAAACCTCGAAGTGAGGGATGGGCAATCTAATGATAATTTAATTAGATTAAGTAATCTGATTGGAATGCAGTTAGTATAATTCATAATCCAGTGATCCCATAAGAAATTTAAAATTCTAGATAATCCGTGATCCGTAATCCAAACTACTCATGAAGTAACCATAATGCACATACATATATGTACAAGGGCATCGAGCTGTGTCACTGTCAGGTTGGCGTACTTTCCTCCTTAGCCACGTTCTCATGGTTCCTATGGCTCACCTAGGAAAACAATTGTCGTCACTAGAATACCTTTACCGTGGTATAGACATACATCTACTATTGAATAAATACCATATACAGATGCATGTGTAAAACTTGCACGATATTTTTATTCAACTCGAAAAGGTCAACCCTGCATATTTCATTAAAAATGACATTCGAAGCAGTCACTATTATAAATATACTTGTCGTGCTTGGAAATGAATATTTATAACTATTTATATTTATAAACTTGAAGGCGAACTTTTTCAAGGTAGAGAAATCAGGAGTTCGTTGCAACCATGTTGAAGTAAAAATTCCCAGGATAACAATCAAAGATTAATGCGAGTACACTCGAAATAAATTTGATTAAAATTTGCTCAATTTTGAGTAAAATTTCCACCAATGCAACTATTGAGTAAGATAACTATTGAGTATTTACTGTGATTTACCGATTTTTCTCGTGAGGGAGAAAAATCCTGATTCACGCTTAGCGATTCCATCATAATTTCGTTTAAACTTAAAATGCGTGGGCATTAAGTGGTTTTCTATCGATTTCAAATTGCTCGCACAAATTTTGAAAAATTTTGAAAATTCAACAAACCAGAAATTTCGAAAAATCAAAATTTTTGAAAACCAGATTTTCTTAAGTTACTCAATCGAATTTTCTTAAGTCACTCAATTTCCGCTACAACCGAAATCACGCGTCTTCATGAAAAAGTAAAAATTGTAAAAAATTCGGTTGTGGGGAATTTTGGAATAAATTTTAAGCTAAATTAAGGATTTATCGAAATGCGGTAAATTTTCAAATTTTTATCTGGTTTCAAAAATGCATAAAGATTTTTGCACAGAATTACACTGACTAACTTAAGAAAAATCTGGTTTTCAAAAATTTTAATTTTTGGAAATCTCTAGCTTGTTGCATTTTCAAAATTTTCAAAATTTTCAAAATTTGTGCGAGCAGTTCGAAATCGGGAGAAAACCACTTCATGCCCACGCATTTTAAGTTTAAACGAAATTATGATGGAACCGCTAAGCGTGAATCTTGATTTTTCTCCCTCACGAGAAAAATGTCGCGGTACAAATGGAAATTCTCGCTCACGGATCACGTCATAATTTCGTTTAAGCTGAGCATTACGAAAAATCCCGAAACACGTGTTCAATTATTTGTGTAAGGCTAAACAGTTATCGTTGTTTCGTCAAAATCGGAGCGAGACCGATGGCGTCATCGGATTGTTAGATTTCGATTGTCTAGATCTTTTAAGGAATGGTGAATTGTTTTTACAAACAACGATTTTTCAGTCGGAAAAACAAATAGTGTCCTTTAGTCACTGTTAAAGTTTTGGTTTTATGCATCCCTGACCTTAATGTTAAATCATTTCCCTTCATGTAAGTATTGAGTTTGAATTTTTGTGTCTCAACTTTCCCTTTTTGATGTATTTACAAATGTGTAAATACATATGTAACTATGTTTTACGTAGGGAAATTTATGATGCACAATTACAAAATAACTAATTATTAATAATACTTTACATATAATTCATCGAAGTATGCATATATGCACATAGACAATTTTGCCCAAAAGTGAGTCAATCGGTTCAAAAAATCTCTAAATACGTTTTTTTCGAGTACATTAGGATTCTAGGGAATCTCAACCCCAAGAAACATTTAACATTCATACATATGTACATACATATCGCGTTACATTAGATATGAGTTCATTGTCGACTTAACTTTGTCTACGTATCATTTGCTAAAGATTATAATTAAACATATAAAAGTAGCATGATTAAGTATGTGAATCACGCTACACAGTTTCCCATCCACTCTTGACAGGAAAGTCCACTTGGTACTCGCCACGTGTCCTGATAAACATAATTAAGTCATTCTGATACAGAATATATTAAATTTCCATTAAAATGATATACATTGGATTGCATATGTACATACGTGTGGGGTGTGTATATTCCTGCAAAAACTGGATTCGGACACTGAGCCATACACGTCCGAAAATTTGTCGGATCCAGTTCACGACTTGAACATTGACATCCAACGTAAGCCTTGTGAAAAGTGGCGGGAAACCAAAACAGAGAAAGAAGATGACTACAAGCCATGGTAAAGTCGGTTATAATGTTACAACCTGGCTGCTCACGTCCGCCATTTACTAAAATAAAGTGAATTCACATGAATAATGTTTCCTGACCACTAACATATTAATTTTTAACTTGCGCATAAAATCCACATGTCCATCCAACGAGCTATCACCGCCGATTCCTGCATTAGAGTGATAAATATCGACAAAACTGGCGTCAGTCTGGTCAATTTTCAATTCTGGGAGTATATTGAATAAAGGTCCGGCCGGGTCTAGTCCTGAAGGGGAAAATCAAATAGGGAATTATATATTAGGAAATTTTTTATTGTTTATGTACCTTTTGCTAATACATAGCTTAGCATCAACGTTTTACCATATCGGTAGCACGTTGTTATACATGTGGTGGAAAATTTAATACTGAGGAAATCAATTCCTGTGACAATGCCAATTTTACCACCCTGTCTGCTGTCTAATTGTACTTACCAGTAATTCGTGGCAGTTTTCTGCCTCCCATAATTGCCTGAATTTCACCTCCCACCCGCCCCGCCAGATGTGCTCCGAGTGAATGCCCGACAACATGGATGCGATCCAAATCCAAGTAATTATTATAGACAAGCCAAGCAATAAAATTTGCCACCTGTTTCCCCACCGTATTCAGGTTTTTGATCGCTAGCACGTACTCGATGGGTACGTCGAGGGGAAAGAGGAACTTCCCTGAAAGCCAACTCCAGTCCACAATAATGAAATTGTCGACAACCGATGAGTTTGTGATGGGAATAATGAGCCCTACAAATTTTGCCAATTCAAGTTTCTGAATAAATTTGGGAATTTTTTGTATATTTTTTATTAAGGGTATTCATTATTCATTTGTATCCTTAGTATTCTTCGTAAATAAGTTTCGAGATTTAGTAAAATTTTTACAGAAAAATCATTTTATTACAAACGATTACGATTTGTGCAAAGTTTTTTTTTGTATTTTTTTTTAAAGTATGTATTTTACGATACTAAGGATATGAAGAAATAATGATTCCCTTCATTGTGCATTACTCTCTGAGAAGATGTAGTTGGTCGGACCAATGAATCCGTGAAGAATAAAAACCGTCAATCCTCCCGGTTTTATGAAGCTGTTACGTACCGATGACTCGTCCGCGTACTTAATTTCTTGTTTAAAACTGTAGACATTGTGTATGTATCTTTTTATTTACAAAGTAATTTTAACGTTTAAGTATGTTTGTAGATACCTTGTACTTTGTACTAAATAGAACTTTATTTCGTCCGGATTAAACCCAATTTCAAAAGGAAGCAACAAATTTGCACATAGTGGAAGATTTGCGACAAAACTTAAAACTACTAAGAAGATAAGTTTCATGGTAAGGATTATTTGGTGAAGTGGTGAAGTGGTCGTGAACGATTTGGGAAGTGTCACACGTCTTGCTGACATTTGGCTTAAAACCTGTTAGACTCTATAAAGGTTAATTTGCATACCTATTAAATATATTTATGACTCGAATATGTATAATATCGAGTTTTAATTCATTTAAATACGAGTAGATTTTTTGCATAAAATTTGGACCGGTTTATTAATTGTTTCGTTTGTACATAAATATTCACAGGTGAAAGTCTTTAGGATGAATGTTAATTCAAGTGATTTGGTAGTGTATATATTTATTTATGAAGGTAATTAAATACATTGGAATATTTGATCTCTGTGAGGACTTTAGACTTTGTCTCAAACCCTACACTGTTAAAAATCTGGTGAAGTCATATACGTACATTCTGCGTATTGGTATTGATTTGGTAATAACTTTCTACCGGATTGATACTACTTTGTTTCTTGGCGATAAAATTTGTCATTACCACAACACTACTCCACCGTAATGGTACCGGTAGAGTGATACATATGTACATATCTACTCCGGTTAGTAAAAATTTAACACCAGTGTACATATGGAAATACATAAACGTATTTTCAATAGAAACATATTAATGTGTGTATATGTACGATAATTTCGTACATATGCATTAAGCGTCTGAGAACTACATATGTCCTTAAATATAGTATAATGGTAAAGAAATCCGGGTTCTTGTTAAGCAGAATATATGTGCATATATGTAATATATTGGTACGTATGTATGAATCTCCTATGATAAACCGAGATAAAAATTGCTTACAACCAAATGTATAAATAAAAATCGCATTTCCGGAAATTTTCAAGTTTTTTAGGTTCAAGGGTTTTAACGCTAGAAATGGAAAAAAAATAATCTAAAAATGCTTTATGTCCATACATGTACGAGTTTATCTATATAGTTTGCCGATGCTACTGGAGCGACTATTCCACTCATACAACAATCCATAAACGGAACTGTACCCAAGGTTTTAATATTATACGATAATAAATACTCCGATGACGCACATGGTCACCACGTTAAAATCGTGATACATTATGCAAAAGTCGCACTAAGAATATACACATGTACAATGTTGTCGATTGCAATTATGTATCTCACATTAAAAACTTTTGAACGATTTTAATTTAACTTTATTTATTTATGTACCTGGCTCCGGACTAATCGCTGGCTTTGAATTTTCCAGGAGTCAGTACTTTCTCAGCCAGAGATTAGCCGACAACTTTAAAGTCTTTACACCAGATAAAGATTTGATTCATTTTCTGGCTTAGTTTTTCTAAAACTTTTAGAAAACTGAGAAATGTATAAACCACTTTTTCTCGTTACTTGCATAATAATTAATTCCTGTAACCCTGTCCAATCTAGCAGTACGGATAAATTGGGAAAGAGATTTATGAAAACAGGTGAATCAAAAAAATTATGGATTGTTAATAATTGTTATGAATGCTCGTAACCCGTACTAATTCAGAAATCTTGCAACAAATTGAAGTTACAAAAGTTATGTACACTGTTCTTCTATTTCGGTATTTATTTATAAGATACAAATGTCGTAACAAAATTTTCAGCGTTACGAACTGATTTATGTAACTTTCCTGTATTCGTAAATACTTATTCAAATTTTCATTCAGATCGAGATGGAGGAGTCCAAAATTCGCGAAATTTTGTTAGCATCCCAAAAACTACATGGAATTCGACCCCAGTTTGTCCTGCTCGAGGGAATGCAACTTCACATGGGGGAAGACGAATTAACGAGAAAATAGATTCCCGCGGTGGATATGTTCCCAACTTTTTGGCAGCGCTTCCTCGCGCAATGGACATTTTAGGATTGGGAATTTTATTCGTACGAACGGTCGCGATTGGGACCCAGTTTCCGCTAATTTATCCAATTTTCCTCCCACTCGTTATCCTCTTGTCCATCGGGATTTATTTCGTCCCGATTTAAAAACTGTGTAGAATTTGTACGCATTAGTGCCTATGTGTATGTATATAATGTGTCTACCGGAACGTTGTATATCTACGTATGTATCATCTATAAACGTAGTACTACATACAGTTTTAACCAATTTTACACTCTTAAAAATCTGGCTTTGTTTATCACGAAAGTATTGGTTTCTCAGTGTTAAAGTCGCTACCGTTTGGTATTAAAATTAAACCGGTCGGTAAAATTTGCTACTGATGTGGTAAACATTTCATACCGAGCTATTACTACCGGGTATTATTAATCAATGCCACGTTAGTCGAGTCATAAGTCATAACTACTAGTAACATATTAAGTGAGTTTCGAGCTAATTATTAGGATGGAACTTAACACCGGAACTGGAAGAATATGTCTTTTTATGTAAAGTGAAAGTGTTTACGGGTCAAATCATCTTACTTTTGTCAAGTTGTGAAATTAGGTTATTCATAATAAAAACGTATGTATCTTACTTACAAGTAGGTTATGCATATTCGTATAGTTTAGTCTTTTTAAATACGGCATTTAACACGCATTTCTCCAAGCTCAAAATTATCCAATTGTCGAGGTCAGTAAAAAGAAAAGTCAGTCAACTTAATCGGCTGGTCTAGACGCTGAGGAAAGTTACCAGGTAATTAATACCGCAATTAGAGCCAATCTTCAAGCTAAATCTTTCCCCTCACTATGTTTTTCACCGGTTAGTGTCAATTTCAACTAATTAGCAGCATTAGCAGAAGGAATAAATAAAATATCGAAAACAACACTTGCTACGCCGTTAGCTTTGTATGTATAACTAACTGCATGGCAAATATAACTGAATATCACGTTCTTTTGTCAAGTATACTAATTTGGACTGCAGAAATAAACACGAAGGACACCCATGAATCGTCTAGCTGCCTAGTATTGCGTTGTCCTTTGTATGGATTTCTTGTGGGGCTAATAAAACAACACAATTTCACTTTGTGTTAAACTTAGTGCTTTTGGAGATATGTAAATGGATGCAATCAATAAATCATGTAAATATCTGTATACTAATAAAAAATAAGTACGATTGTTTAATTTGCTAAAAACTCAAAGTAAGAAAATTTGAAATTGACTAGTCTAGCTCGCAGACGGGAGATAGATATATTTGTAATGGATGCGGGACGATATTCAAATATCTTAATTAAGATTATTGAATTAATCTTAATTCAATCTTCAATGAATTAATCTTAATTAAGACAATGTGTGTACTTTACTAATATTATGTACTTGATTTTAAGCTGATGTTGTTCCCTACTTTCGAAGTAGATTTATGACAACATAAAAAAGCGCAATGAAGAAAATTCAATTTTTGCTTCACACTAAATAACATTTTTAAAAATTTATCCAAGGTTGAGTAAAATAGAGGATAGAGTAGAATAGAGGAGACCAACAACGTATGCATGTAAAATTTTTCCAACGTTTTGTAAATTTTACACAACTTTATTTAGATTGTACATAAAACACTGATAAAAACATGATTCGGAACCCTGTTTGTCGTGTATCAGATTACATTCTAATTAATTGTATCCCAAACAAACAAATTATTTTGTGATGACGCACATTGTAACCATGTTCGAAATGGTGATGCATTATGCAATGGATTTCCACTCCCTCGTCTCTTAACTGGCTGATTTCAGCTAATTGTCATGTTTGTTAAAAAATCTTCTCGTATTTGCGACTGTATATTGGACATGCATAAATTATAAGTCTATTGAATTTATGAATGTACATACATAAATAATATTTATCTGCCTTGTCGTCTACGACGAATTTATTTAAGACGAATCAAGTTAATTCCTTTTTAAGATCGAGGCTGAAGTAGAAACCGATTTATTCACGAATAGACAGTTGTTTAAGAAGGTGAAATTTATAATTTGATTTTCGAGAAATTCATCATTAGTTACAATATTTTGTTTCATCTATTTATTTAGTATGCATGTTGGAAACTACATTTTGGCGGGATTACTAATTTTTAACCATTTTTCCAAATGCTCGGACTCAAGTAGAAAAATGGACCATTTTAAAGAAGTTGTACTCCGCGGAGAAGGTGAAACATGTTCATTTTTTGGTATATTTCAATTTTTAACGGAGGAAATTTCAATTTGCAATAATTCTTGTAAGCTATGTATCTTTAACAAAAATTGATTTCCAAAAACTGTACAAATATTGACATATATGATTTCTGAATTTTTGAAAAAAATGTCAAAAGATTGACATATTCACTTTTTCGATATTACAAATGTAGTAAATATCTACTTTCTTAATTACAGATATTACGGGTGGGCAGCGAAACCTCAACACCGAAAAGTTTTCTGCACCAACCTTTCCCATTTGTCCATCGAATAATTCCTCTCGAGATGCGCGTATCAGTAGTCACGAAGTTTTCAATTTCTTAGGAGCACTTCCACGAGCCATGGAAATTCTTGGACTAGGGATTCTGTTCATTCGTACAGTAGCTATCGGAACGCAGTTTCCCCTCCTTTATCCAATCTTTATTCCTCTCGTGGCCATTTTATCGATTGGAATATATTTTATTCCTATTCCCAATTAACAACCAAATTGTTTGCAAAAACTAAGGTATCTACATATTTTAGAACTAAAATTTCATCAAGATAATATGCAATAAAAAAGACGTAAAAAAACTGCGAGAATAGTGTTGATCCAGCGTAGGTATTTACTTTTTAAGTGCATAATTTGTTAGGTGTCCATGCTAATATAAAAAGCATGTTTGAAATTCATACAATTTTCATTTTACCAAAAAGAAATGCAGATTTAAAATAGATTCATGGACCATTCATCATCATTTACATATAATATAGGACAACATTTGTTATAACAAATGTATGCATGTATAATGTAAACTATGTACCTTATGTAGTTTTACCTCGCTGAAGAATATATACTTCACGTCTTAGATTTAATACGAAGTAAATTCATAACCAAAATCTGCCTATTGAACTCACAGACCATGCACCATGTTTGCAGATGTATTTATACCATGCACGCTATGGCAGATATTATTATTTAGGTATTAAAGTTCCAACCGCTAGACATTAAGATTATACAATCCCTAAAAATTTGGTGCCAAGCCAATATGGTAAAAATTTAATACCGAGCTAAGTATTACTATTCCTCAATACCACTTTGGTAGTCACATACATAAATATACCACTGGGTATTTTTTAATACCGGATTTCTAAGAGTGGTTTATGATGCACAGTTGATGCCAAGATATAAACTCACATTTTTTTGTTCATTTTTATGTACCCGCAGGAGGATTATGCAACTTCCTAGGAGAACCTGTACCAGAAACGGTGTGCAAAACCAATTGTTCCATGTTGGAGGCGCCAATGTTCCATTGTCTGAATGGCCAAAAGTGTTGCTTACTGTCAAAGACGGGGGCTGTTGAGACACCCTGAATTTTTAGAGGTGTTAATATATATGTTTCCCAATATTGATGATGTAATATACATTATGTATAAATATAATTAGTAGATAAAACTGCAAGTTACTCGATTAGATACATCACATCAATAAACTGTTTTCTGTTTTATGTAATCAACATAAAAATCTGAAGGGTGAAAATTTCTGAAAACTCGTTTTCGTTCATCTTCTTACATATAATTATAAATTGAGGGTTTCAGAATTAACACTTACCGCGTAGATATGTATTTTAGGTTAAAAAAGTCATCCGTTAGTACAGAATTTTTCCCATTGAATGGGGTATTATTCTGGTTAATTGACGTCTAGCCAAGCCAAGTGGAGAGAACGAACTATTTATAAAATCACTGCCTGAATAGATGACCTTTTTTCTATGGTAGCAATAAATTCCTTCTCTTCGTAAGACAGTCACCATTTACAGACTCACAACTTTTTTGCGAAGTTAAATTCAGTTCAGCTTTGCATGCAGGCTTCTTGCATATTTTATTTAAACATGGTAAAACATAATTTGGGAATTGCGTCCTCTAAATGGGTTTGTTTTTAGTGGGAAAGGTTTAAAAATTTTAACAACGTAAAAATAAAAGGTTTGTCGTCGCAATGTTGGACATGTGAATGACTTAAGACTTTTTTTGTGATAATGGCCCGACGTCTGTTCCAGTAATTGTGTTATGGCCACCTGCTAAAGCACCATGCACATATTTACAAATGTCGGGTCAACGTCGTCAAGACTTCGGTTCGTTCAAAATTAATATGCAATAAAAAATATGAAAGGTTATTTGGCGGATGATTAGTTTCCATGACTTGATATTGTTTAAAAATCCATTATTTTCCAACTTTCACCTGATTTTCAACTAATCTTAAATATATGTAATAAAGGGTTGAAATTCCCTAAATTTATTTGAGTCGAAAAAAAAAAAATTTTCATTTAAAAAAACAGAATAAATATGCATATTTAGTTACACGCATCTCTGTGGATGTGGATGACAAGCAGCAACTTTGGCCATTTGACCTTTAAAAACCTGAGTTTTTTTACATCCACCTGGTAAACAATTAAGTTTTCTGTTTCCGCTAAATTACATATGGATTAAAGGTTTATTTATTTTGATAATTACATGAGTACTTGTGTATGTATCATGTTAACAAGATAATAATGACAAATTTTTTCAGAAACCGTAGCGGTATGAGGATTAATTGTAATTGCTGTAATTGTAATTAATAATAATTGCTGACTCTCTCTGTATTGCTTTCTTCGGAATTGTTTGCATTTACTTCTTCATGGGTAAGGTTATATTAGGTGATTGATTCATATTCGATATCACTATCAAGATCTAATGACAAAAGATAAATTGTTATCCTCTATGAGAGACTAAAATGAATGTAAATTGTTAGGATATTTCGTTTTTATCCAGAATTTACCCAGATTGTAGTTTTATTTTTACTAAACTGGCGATTTTCAACCTAATGAATTATTTAACGGTAAAATAAAAAATCGAGTGGTTTATTTAATAAACAATAAGAACAGAACAAAATAAGGAAAATAAACTACCATCAATGGTGGTGGTGGCCCACCACCTCACTATAACCCTTCATATCCATTTTCCCCACTACCCACCCATTTTCCCCATTTTTTCCATTTTACCCACTGGGCTGGGGATTAAGCTCAAAAGGTGGGTAAAGTAAAACCCTGGAAATATATATCAGCTCGTGAATTTCTAAATAATGTTTTGATTAAAATATTTAATTTTATTCAATTTAGTATAGAATCGTATTGGCAGCGCATTATTATCATTTTGCATACATTCATTTGCAAAAGGCTAGGCGACCAGCGCCGTATATACATACGTGTCCCTGTCACACTGTGTCCCTATACATACATACTTTTATTTGCTCTACAAATGTACATTAAACATATATACATGCACACATGTACGTAATATTTGTACCCGTTTTCACCACTTAAACAAAATATATAAATAGATACGTACATACATATTTACATACATATGTATGTACAAGTTTAAATAATACGCTTATACAACACACCTTTACAAGGATTGCAGTTTACGTTTATCTAGAAGAACAGCAATCGCAACTTTTCCAGTTTGAATCTTTTCTGATCTCGTCACATCTCTCTTATACAACGGCTCCACGAGCTTGACTTCCGGTTCACTTCCATTGCCACTCGTGGAGCAATAAATGCTTGAAGTTTTAATGTACTGTGCTGAAATTGATAAGTTTAATTTTTTAGACTAGATAATCCTACACTGTTAGAAATCTGGTATTTCAGCGAGGTATTTATGGATTTCTCCGTATTAAAGTTACTACTGCTTGGTATTAAAATCATTCCGGTCCGTAAAAATTTGCAACCGATATGGTAAACCTTTAATACCGAGCTATTACATACTAACTAAAACGGCATTTCTTATCAACACCACTTTGGTACGGTCATATACGAACACCGCTTGGTAATTATTACTTTAATACTTTCTACATAAGAGCATAACTTTCAAACAGGGAATGACCATCAATTATGTCACGCAAAAATGTCGATTTTTCAGATCTCTTGTCACGTGTTGCACCCCATTTCCACAGGCGGCGCAAATAGAGATGTCACGCAGAATTTTTACACCCCGCTAGGTCATGACATAATTTATGTACGTTCCCTTAGTAAAAAAATATGACGACTTACTATGATTTTCTACTTCCATCTTCACCCCGACCATTGCATCCCCATCCTCACAGTAGACATTATAATGTAACGTGCTGCCCAAGTTGCAGTCCGGGTTTAAAGCGTAATTCACCTCCCACGGGATAATCCTCGCGAACTGGAGCCCCTTCATCCCATTAAAACAATTCTTCGCCCTGGTCGTTGCCAAATTTGCATGCAAATTCAACGTTGCTACCGTCGTCGTATTGGAAGAGAATGGCATACAGCGCAGCTTAAGCCCCCCTTTCAGACGGTTACTCCCATCCCACTCAATCCTCTTGACGAAGGTGCCACGTGGACATTTCAAATCCACCATGTTTCTCCCACATGATTTCATGGTTGATATTTTATTATCCATGTGACACGAGATTGATTTATAGTTTCTATTGTCCGTCCAAAACCATTGTCCATTAGGGTCGGGTGGATCGTTTTCATAAGCTTCGACGCAGGAGCCGATATCGATTTTGAAGGATGAAATGCGATTACGCAAAGGACCCACGGTCCCGTATCGGTACTGGTCGAGATCGGGGAAATAGGCGCCATTGCCTGAAAGTGAAAGTAGAAATGTTACTTGATATGTACATATTTACACTCTTAAAAAGAAGGTTACCCATTTGAATAGTAAACTCATTCTGAATTCGATATTAAGTAGAAATGTTAACTTGGTGAAGAGTAAAGTTTACTCCGGATTTAGTATGGTTAACTTGATATCGAATTTAGAGTTCATATACTTTTCAAAAGAGTAACCATATTTTTGAGAGTTGGCGGAGGGAAATTTAAGTTTATGACGAACCTCTATACCCGGGGCAAGCCCACATTGTTATTTTTGTCGTACCATGGACCGTGGTGAGAATAGCAAGTAAAATAATGCACAAGTTAGACATGATTGTATTATAATTTTTTTTGCTAGTATAATTATTCTTGCTTGCTACCTCTGAACGAAGGAAAATTATGTATGCCGGATCAGTTTGATTTTATGTACATGCATATGTAAAGACTATGTAATGGAATCAGAATTCCATGAAAATCTGGCTTTGATTGCTAGGATTAACCCGTTATCACACATTCGTTCCAGAAGTGAGTAGAATTGATTGCTGGCATAATATTTATGGATGAGATGCACATTTAACTACGGTTAGGAATGCATAAATACGTTTTAAATCAGTACGCAATGGCGATGGTGTTAAGGGAAAATTAATTGAATTTGGCAGCTTAATCCACAACTTGATCTCTCCGATGCATAGTTGTTCGTCGTATCTACGTGTTATCGTAATTGGGTTTTCTCTCTGATAATACAAACGCTTAGAGTGATATTATCAGATTTTTTTATTAACAGTTTGGTCGAAATCTGAATTCGCAATCGGGATAAATTCGCTTCATCGCTTCTCCGAACTTATTTACGTTATGTATGTACCGTCTCAAGACAAACCTTTCTACAAATCAGGAAATTTACACATTTTAACAATTATTTTTGAATTGTGTTTTCTTCGAACTTGATTTGTAATTTTATATCTTCTACGTTCCGAATGCTTAACACAATTTCAAATTAAACTGCTCAGTTTTAAGAGCATACAGAAGAATGCCAGATGTGCAGAAAAGACCGCTGTACCCGAGTCAAGCTGAGCTATAAATTACTTCTATTTAAAAATAAATTATTAAGCAAACCACCAAAGAATTAATTAATCATGAAGAAATTATGCCAGAAGGTAGAATTCCGACCTAGTTTAGCTTTTCTAAAATAGCTCCGAACTCCGACCTAGTAAATACCATACATTCGGCAATAATCACTTCGCTTGATCACTATGTAAGAGCTCAATTTATTATTATCACACTCAACTAACGTGATAACCATTACGTGACCGTTCTGCTAGAACGCTGGCAACTATGCATATACATAAATGAAAAAAAAACACAGTATATAAATAATGCGTCATGACTCATAGTCGATGACTAATATAGTATGCATTGCGAGTCAAATCATTTGACTCAAATGAGTCATTTAATTCGAAACGATACACTATCTTCAGATTAACTAGTTTCAGATTATGTCGCCTGAAACAAAAAATACTTTATTAAAATTTACGGTTTGTCTTTTTTTAAAAAAAAAATCTGTCCTTTTCAAAGTTGTTTTTGTTTGGCTTATGATGTGAAAATAACCTACAAAATAAAAATATACAATACACCGCTACATATTCTTTATGTCAAATAGTTACTTTATCATGCTCGTTAGTGAATACGCAGGTCAATCGACAGGCCCGTTTTGACCGTCGGTTGACCTGTCACCTTAAGCAGAGGTGAAACATTATATGTATAACATCAACTACTTATTGTGATCGTTTTGTCCGTCCGACCGTCCGCCGTAAGCAGGATATCTCCAGAACGAGTCAACATAATCAAACCCAGTTTTCGTCATTGTGCTTATAACTTTTAGTTCTCGATCGAGGTCGAGCATGGGACTAATCGGACCACACTCCACGGCACCAGCGGGTGTGGTCAAGATTAAATTTAACTTTAATTTTCATGTGGGTTGTCATTTTAAAGGAAATTTGACCGAGATTTCAAAGAACATTAAAATTTTTACCTCATGACCTTCAGGACGAGGAAAAGGGTCTAAAACACATAATCGTCAGATCATATGGCGTCATTTTAAAGGATATTTCAATCATTCTGACGCTACTTTACATTCGTTTGTAAGGGTTTACTTCCCTCTCGCTGCATCAAGAGGAGGTGCCAACTATTTGTACTCAACTAAACATGCCACCGACCCAGCAGCGGTATAATCGCGAGTTTTAGGTAAATATTTAAATATCCCTGGTTAGAAAATTTCAAAAATACTGAACATTATATGCATGCACATGAATACGTATATTTATTTGTATATAGCAGATGGAGTATGCCAAAATAAGGAGGGGTTATCTACTCCTTGGAAGGTTCCGGACGAGAGTACCAAAGAATTTTATGTTTGGGAGAACGGTGAAATAAACGAGCCTAATCCCGAACAGTCTTTCTTCCGTATCATTCTAACATTTTGAACATTATTTTTCACAGAACAGCACAATTTTAATTATATAATCTTTACAGGTGGGTAATTTATGTACACGTTTCACTCAACAATAATATAAGGCTAAAATATCTAATTAATTAATTATTCTAGACACAGTGGCCACATCAACGGAGAATTTATTAAATTTATTACGTTTTGTCAGCTACCTAAACCAAGGATGTTACATATTTATTTATATACAAGCTCTTCACCATTAAAGCAATCAGAATTACGATTAACGTGCTACAATAGATGTCGGAGATTTTCCCATCGTGCCACCAACAGCATCGTGCCCACCCTTAATAGTCCTTGATCTTGTCATATTTCTTAAATAGAGAGGCTCCACGAGTTTGATTTCCTGTCCTGTTTCATTTCCAGTTTTACTTATGATCCACCGGGAACAGTAAATCCGTGAAGTTTTAATGTAATTCGCTGAAATTAGTATTTTTAGAGTCTAATCCGCATATATAATATTTTTTATATAAATAAATTAACATATTGACTCACAATGATTCTCCACATCCATACTAACTCCTATAAGGGCATCTCCACTTTCACAGTAGACATCATTTTCAGACGCGGGGCCTCTGTCGCATTCCGGAGTCATGTCATTATCCACCTCTTGCCAGGTAATTCTATTGAATTTAATCCCCCTCATAGCATGAAGACAGTCCTTCGATGTCGTCGGTGTCGGTGTCGTCGATTTCGTGCAACTCCAATGTCTTATTGGCCGTATTGGAAGAGTATTCCATGCAGTGAAGTCTTAGTCCCAATCTGAGAGTGCCATTTCCATCCCACTCAATCCTCTTGACGAACGTGCCACTTGGACATTTCAGGTCCACCACTCGTCTGCTGCACGATTTCATACTTGATATCCTTTTATACATGGGATGTTCAGGGTCGAAAAATAAAACTATAAAAGGTGACGCCCAAAACCATTCCCCACCTGGTGGATCGAGGTCATAGGCTAGAACACAGGAGCCGATATCGATCGTGAAGGTTGCCACGATATTATTCATGGGGCCCAAAGTGCCGTAAGAATACCTGTCGAGGTCTTCGAAATATGCGCCTTTACCTGTAAGTGAAAAATTGAAGTAATGTTTTTTTATTTGTGGTGGGAATTTAAAACTAGACCAACTTGTGTATGGCAGATTTTCCCACATTGTTACTTTAGTCGTGCAATGGACCGTGGAAACAATAATAAGTACAAGGATGCAGAATTTTTGCATAATTTTATCCTTGTTTTGTTATTATTTTAACGTTGTTGTTTGCTGACGCTAAGTGTGTATAGTGATGAGAAATTAGGTGGAGTAGTTCAGTTTTATAGTTCAGGGCAATGGGTCAAAACTTTTGGCTCGGATTAAATCCCTAAGATTAACATACACACCTTTTATCCCATATAATCCTCGAGATTAGCAATGATTGAAAGCATAATTACGGCATAACATGCATGTGTGGATTTGCATAAGATAATTTAAGTAATGAAGTGATTGTGAGGATAATGCAGAGAAATTATTTAAAATTATTTGAAATTGGGAACCTAATCCGGCACCTAAGCTGGGAATAACAGGATCGATCATTTAGGTAATTGCAATTAGCTTGGTCACTTTTCGTGGTAAATAAACTTGGGATTAATGTTGACACATTTGTTTATGAATTGGATTTAAATAAATAAATTTGTATTATGATTGGATTTGCATAAAAAATCTGATAAGACACAGGTAGATACTCTTGTGATATCGTCGGATTCTTGCATGACAGTTTATTGCGAAACAAATCATAGTAGTTTCGTACCATTGGTATGATACCAACTTATTTACAAGAATTTAAAACGTAATTAACTTGCTTGGAAAAGTGTAGTCAACAATTCTAAAAATCGCTATTTCTGAGGTCGTACGAGATGGACTTCAAATTTCATGTCATCACAACAATTTCGAGAAGCAATAAAAATCACTCAGCCAGATGAGCTAAATTGGTACATACTCTCCATCCGCACAGGATTAAACTTTTACAGAAATTGAGAATTCTAAGAAACTACGCCACTGTCAGTCTCATGTTCCCTCAAATCATATGGACGGGGAACCTTGAGACTGACAGTGGCGTAGTTTCTTAGAATTCTCAATTTCTGTAAAAGTTTAATCCTGTGCGGATGGAGAGTATTTGCCGGTATTGATAAACTTATATATGTATGTACATAACGGCAATTATAACGATTTTACCAAAATCCGACGAATAATTTCCCCTACGAACATTAAACAGGCGGACAAAAAAACCAGACCAAATTGACCTATGTATGTAGCATCGAGCGAATTTGATTCGTCATTTTATAAATCCGACATTTCTGATTAATTGGACATCAGTTTGACTAGCAAAGTCTGCTAGTTTGACTAGCAGCGTTTAGCTGGCGACAGTTATTTCGACATGATTGCTGAATAAAGCTTAAAATCCATTTTCTGCATACTTTATAATACTAAAAGTTTTCATAATTTTTCAGCTTGAAATGAACTCATGCGGAAATCATCACAATGTTGTCTATGCACATATGCATTTGTAAGTTTGTTCAAACAAATTTGGAAATAATTTAAAAACCGGTAGTATCACCTTATAAGTTCGCTTTATGTGGGATCGATTGGCTACACACTCCTACTTGATAACTACGTACCTAAATATGTACATATTAGCCACGCGAAATGATTCATAAATACATATGTTTGGAATTCTAGTGAGTCATTGGACTAGTAATGAATGAATGAATGAACGCTTTATTATACTGGCTTATTAGTACAAGAAATACAAAATTTTATGCTTAACACTAGAGAAGGAGACTCTAAATTAAACATTTTAACAAATTAAAGTAACTTACTTGCCTAGTTTCGTCAGTTTACATCCTCTCTAAGCCAATACTTCTACCAACAAATTAATAATTTAGCAAGATGAACAAACATAACCATCTCGCAGCTCTAAGGAACGCGACAAAGTTGATTGCATACCAAGTCGGGTTAAGTTGTAAATTTAGATACAATACTTGTAATTATTACAATTCCAAATCATTAGCCAATTATAATTTATGTCAACTTAAGCTTATATACTTACTTAAAACTATTTTTGTTGGAAAAATTGCACCAAAAAACCAACCTAATTTTGAAATACAAACCAATTTTGATTCCCCAACCAACCGAGTGGACAGGCAAAAGCCACGTGGTAATTCCAATTTTCTAAAATAAAGACTTAAAATACAATTTTTTGGCTGAAATAGTTGTTCAGCTTGACGATGAGGGATTTTCACACATTTCCAATTATAATCGAAGATATTACCAATTAAATTTATTAAAATTAGAATAAAAATTAAATAAATTTAGAGGAGCTCGTGCACGAGCAAATCCTCCTCGGTTGGCGCGCTGACGGGGAATGAGTAATGATGACGGAAGTTATTTTTAGCATTTCCGGAGTCCGGCACCTAGTATTTTTCCCGTCAGCAAGTTTTGATAACATTTGACAGGGTTCTAATCCGAATTAATGCGACATATTTTAGAAAAAAAACTAACTGCCTAAATATAAGTAACTTATAGGAGTTCCCATGAAATTTGTTATAGTTTTTGTTAAACACGCAGCCAACATGAAAAAGTCCACGTTTGTCATTTTTATAGCTCAATTTTTCATCCTTTTTCACAAGGAGATTTGGTATGCAAAAAGATTATAACATGAGTCTGGATTTTTAGTTATTTAATTATGAAGGCGAGATACGTATGTACATGCCAAAAATACCCATACATCCAAATTCTGTGGACAGTAAAAAATTTCAGTATTTTAAAAAAAGTATCGCAAAGCGCAAAATTTATGCATTTTTGGAAACAATTTTGTACTTTTTTCGGATGCAAATGTCTCTGGGGTTGTTGACACTGATTTGAATTTTTATATAAAAAATGTCGACTATACCAAGGATTTTCCAAACATACGGCCTCCAAATCATAAAAATTTGAATAAGTAGATCCAAAGAAGTCGAGGCGCATCACGGGTTCATTATTTAGTAAATAATTCTGAGCATTTTAATTTGTGGTTAAGTTGTTCATTTAAATTCAAATTAATTTTTAGCTAGGCAATAAAACAAGTCCTTAAGTAATAATTATTAAACCAAAAATTATTTTTATTCAAGTATCTATGTACATAAATGAAAATATTGTATTGATTACTTTTAATAAAATAATCCATATCTTCCTGAAATAGTACCACTAGGCCGTCAGCGTTTAGACCAACGGTTTTGGCTTAATTTTTAAGAACATCTGTCGCCACTTTTCACCAGCGCCATCTTGCCCAGCAGTTGCAGCTCCATTGATAATGGCCGACCTTGTAAAATTTCTACGATAGAGAGGCTCAACGACCTTTACGTCATCAATTTCAGACCCCCTAGTATTTCTACTGATCCATGGGGAGCAGAGAATTCTTGAAGTTTTTATGTAATGTGCTAAAATTCATCAATCGGAATTTAACGACATAATAATTGAAACCAAGTCCGAATTTTATAAATATTTTATAAATCATTATACGTAAGAGCACACATCGGTTTTCTACTTGCATCCAAACCCCGATAAGGGCAGATCCACTCCCACAATAGATACTGTTTCCATAAGTATAGCCCGGGTTGCAGTCCGGCTCCATAGCGTAATCTACCTCCAAAACGTTTGATCTGCTGAATTGAATCCCTCTCATAGCATCCAAACAATCCTTTGCTTGCGTCGTTGCTAAACTATCGTGCAGACTAAGTGTTGATACCACCGTGGTAGAAGAGTATGGTACGCAGTGTAATTTTAGCCCCCCTCTGAGACTGTTCTTCCCATCCCACTCAATCCTCTTGACGAACGTGCCACTTGGGCAGTGCAACTCGACGGTATATCTGCCACAAGACTTAAGACTTGATATCCTGTTATCTAGGGCATCGTCAAGTTGATAAATTGCTGTTTCTGTTGTCCAAAACCATTCCCCGCCAGGTGGATCGTACTCATAGGCTTCAACACAGGAGCCGATATCGATTTTTAAGGATGAAACGAGATTAGCCATGAGGCCCAATTTTCCATGTGGAAACCCATCAAGGTCGTCGAAATAGGACCCTCTGCCTGAAAGTAAATGTTGAAGTGATATTTTGAATGTGGATGGGGGCATTCTAAAATAGACGAACCTGTGTATCCCGGATTTTCCCACACTGATACTTTGGTCCTGCAGTGAACCATTGTAACAATGATAAGTACCACGATGCACAATTTCTGCATGGTGTTATCCTTGTTTTTTACTATTTGATTGTTGTTGTTCGCTGGCGGTGAAAATATGTATGGCGATGAGAACAGTTTACTTTTATAGGGTAATGGGTCAGAAATTTTGGCTCCGATTAAATCCATAGGATTAATGCGCATATTATTTATCCTAGTGATTAGAAATGATTGAAGGCCTAATCACGGCTTAATGTGTATATATGTATTAATAAACATAAGCGTAAATATATAAGCGAATTTAAGCAACGAAGCGATGATGATGAAGAGAAATTCTTTGAAATTGGGAATATAATCCTGCACTTAATCTGCAAATATTGGCATCGATCATTTGGGTAATTCCAATGATCTAGCTTGGTCACTCTTCTCGGTAAATGCTGCTCGAGATTAATGTTGACGTGTCTACTTTCGACTAGAATTCGCATAAATAATTGTTGCTACGATTGAGCTTACATAACAAATTGATGAGGCATTGACTCGAATAATTAAATAAAACCAGGGATTCAGCTTGTGAATCAGATTTAGAGTTATGTAAACACTGGTTTAGATTCAAACTTTGGCTTGGCACTGCCAAAAAATATCCCTGCCAAGTTGGCAGGGATATTTCTCCAAGGGATTGATAGGTTTGAATGATCGTGATCAAGCAAAATTTGGAGTAACTTATTTTATTTAGGATTACATAGAAGATCTTGTGGAAAACGATGGCGCTTTTAACTTTGTCAATATTTCTAATGCTACATGCAATTCATTATTCGCAAGACATGCATAGAAAAATATGAAAAATTAAGAAAAAAATGAAAACAAGTAAGTTTATTATTGTGAAATCCCAAAGTAAACGTGCCTATCATCAGGTTTGAAGCGTATTCATGCAGAGACGATAGGAATTTCCGGAAATTTGTTTAATAAAATGTTCTACATTAAAGTGCTTTCTATTCCTACGTGATCTAAAGGACTACGATTATGTATTTAGATGATATACATCCGCATTGTTTTGTTAGGTGAGGATAATTTTAAGAATTTGAAGCTAAAACTTTTTAATGATTGCATATTTATATTTCTAATTTGATATATCAATTTACATACTTTCGTTTCTTATTTGACAAGAAACGCCAGTATTACATAACTGGCCCGAACTTAAGTCCATACTTTTTATCAAATTATACTTAATTTTAAAGTGTACATATTTTTGCGGGAAATATTTACCCGCATAAACTTAACGTCCACAGCAGTGACAGGTTTGTAACCCAAGGAACCCTCCTCTTCTTGTCCATCGGCGATTCCACCTTCGCGCTGGAAAAGGAAGTAATAATACAAGTTATTTATTACCAGATAAATGTTTTGAAAACATTAACTGTAATTTGTCATTTCGGGTCAGTTTTGGTAAGTCTGTAACGACTTAAGATCACCTTACGAACCCAAAACACGCCTTTTAACTTTGCAAGAAAAAATTATCTTAAAGTTGTTCATAAGCCTCGTTAAAAGTTTGTAAGTTTCATAAATTTATGCGGCTACGGATTTACGAAATCTGACGTAAAACGCCCAAAATATACAATTAAGGTTATGAACCTGGGCAAATGCTATCACGTCGACCTCGATTCGCCCAGCACGCCCAACCGTTTCCATCGGGACAATTCTGAGCTTCCACCGTGGTTGTCATGACAACCAAAACGGCAACGAGGAGGAAAGCAGCGATAATTTTCGAATTCATGGTTTACGTTTGTTGTATGATGTGATGTCTGATTTGGATATTCGCCACCATTTTATACCCAAAGATAATTTCTTGATTTTAAATTTATGAAATGCGTCATTTTCAACTGAAATATTTGTTGGATTCGTGGAAGGATTTTAATTGCATGGAAAATTTTCACTAATCAAATAACTGCCTAGATAAAAAAACGTTAGCAAGCAGTATGATACTTAAATCACGAGACTGCTATGCCATACACCAGACTTTATTTTATTTTCATGCAAACTAGTACGCAGAGTTTGCAGTATAATGAGTTGTTCGTATGAATTTGGCTGTTGTGCTGCGTATTTGTTGGTTTGGATTCGTATTCGTATTCATCCTTTTCTGCACTTATGGATGATAATACTAAGAATTAGTTCGAAATTGATACAATAATGACGATAGGAATTGTTCGATTGATTCATTAATGTATAGGCAAAAATGAACTAAGAATTTGTTACGCAGACATCAACCAACAAATGACAAGCATCAATTTATGTAGTTCCGTTTTCCAACATCATACATAAATACAGACGTGTATACAGACATATTTATTGTACACACTTAATTATGAATTATCAATTATTTGAATGAAGCATAATCCATACTTTCGAGTTTCTGAATATTTATGTACATAACTGCAGCATACTTATTACTACTTAAGTATTATAAATAACTAGCATTTAACCAACTTTAGGAATCACTTTTGTTATGGAATGACAACCGTTGCGACTTTATCGGGTTCCACATTTTCTGATTTTTCCTTATCTCGAAGATAGAACGGCTCCACGAGTTCAATTTCATGTCCATTATTACTATGCGTCCATCGAGAGCAATAAATTCTCGATTGTTTTATGAGTTTGGCTGAAATCAAAATACATATTTTCTGCAATTTCCAATTTTTTTCTCGGATTATTATTTTCATAAATCTTTAACTCACTGTGACTCTCAACTTCCAACCTTACTCCCACCATGGCATTTCCATCCGTACAATATGCACTTTTTTCCTCCGTCATTCCCGGCATGCAGTCTGGGTCGATGTCAGTGTCCACCTCCAAGTTGGCCTGTCTAGTGAACCGGATGCCTCTCACCGCCGTAAAACAATCCCGGGTTTCGGTCGCTTTCAAATTTGCGGGAGTGACATAAAGCACAATTGCGGCCGAGGTGGATTGGAACGACATGCAGTGTAATTTCAGTTTCAGCCCGTCCTTCAATTTGTGAACCTTATCCCACTCAATCCGCTTAACGAACGTGCCAGCTGGACATTTTAGGTCGACAATAGATCTGCCACATGACCGCATACTTGAGATTCTCTTGTCCATTCCGCTCTTAACGGGAAATGAGGCATAGTTTCTGGTGTCCGTCCAAAACCATTCTCCGCCAGGTGGATCGTCGTTGAAGGCCTCGACACAGGAGCCGATATCGATTTTGAAGGATGACATGCGATTATCGAAGGGGCCCAAGGTGCCATATATATACCCGTCAAGGTCGGGGAAATAACCCGATCTGCCTGAAAGTGAAAATTGTTTTGGTATTACTTGTTGAAGGGGGGGGGGGATGAAATTAATTGTTAAGGCAGAGTTGTATTCCGGTTTGAATTTGAATTTTTGTCTCAACTTTCCCTACTTGATGTATTAAAATTGGGAATTTGGAAACCCGATCTTTCGGCGCCTTGTTTATAAAATGCAAATTTTGTTGCGTCCAGAAATTTGAAAAGTTTTAGATTTGCAAAGTTAGGAGGTTCGAATTTTGATTTTTTTCTTCCATCAGAAAATATTTAATCTTTGAATCTGATTTTTTAAATATATTGTACTTATTATTTGTCATGGAAGAAAATAATCAAAATTGTAACCCCCAACCAACCTACCAACCTTTGCCAACCTGATAACTATAGATTTTTAGACGAATTAAAATTTTCGAGTTGTAAAAAAAACTGAACGGATATGAATAGGCTACAAAATCGACATTTGAATCTGGAAACTTGAGACGTAAAAAGTCAATTAAAAAACTGCAAGCAAGAGAACCTTAAGCAGACGAACCTTCGTATTTAGGCTCTTCCCACATTGTTATTTTGGTCGTGCAATGGACCGTGGTAACAATTGCGAGCACAATGATGTACAATTTTGACATTTTTAAAATATAGTTTTATGTATATATCTATTCTTATTATTTTCCCGTTCTTGATTGTTGGCTCTATTGCAATGAAGAGCACCCCAGACCAGTTCTCTTTTATAGGGACACTGCAACGGTAAAAAAATCGTGACTCAGCTTTAATCCAGACGATTAACGTGTTGCATATGCACATATCTCACCTAATCCTAATGATTAGAAATGATTGAAGGCATAATTATGGAATAACCTATATGTCAGCGTAAATCAGTGCGTTTAAACAAACGCGATGACGACAATGAAGAGAATTTCGTTGAAACATAATTTAACTGAATTGAGGTGAAATTCGTTTAAATTTGATCTTAATCCAGCACTTGATGTGTTCAGAAATTTGTTTGGGTAAATTCAACTTGATTGGTCACTTTTCACGGTAAACTAATCTTGACATATTTATGCTTGCTTGAAAAAGATTTAAGTGAATAATTGGTGATCATAATTAATTTTCTCAATTGCTGTCTAATAATGCGAAGGCTTAGAGTAATATGCATATAGTTTTGTTGTGGAATTGAGTCCGTGCAAAATAAATGCCCCGAGCAGCTGCATAAGTACTAATAGACAGTTGAATATAGTTCATAGCTTGATTTTATTTAAAAGTTAAAAAAATTGTCTCCTTATCAAATATTATAGGTTAATACTCAGATTATATGTACTTACATATTTTCATTAGCATAATTCCTTTAGCTGAAATTGTATAAACATTGCGCTTTCTACCTACATGTTTAGTTATCTTATAGATACATGGGGCAGCCATGGACGCAAAACTTATAACTTAAAATTATGCCCACTAATTGTTAATTACCCTGTTGCATTATCCGTTACAACTAGAACCTTTGGTTTCGAATGATTTTGTCGTATACAAATGATTTCTTTCTTATTCGTCCGTACCTTAATTCTAAGTCGCATTTTCCTGTGATGCCTGCACTTTTCGACACTTTTAGTAAATCTTGCCCAAATCAGTCTAACCCTTTTCGTGATATTTGCCCTATTGTATTTCACATACTCGATGACCGCCAGGCAGAAACATGCCGCTAGACATGTGACGAGTAGAATGAAAATGGTTTGAATACTACCGCCAAGTTTGACCACCTGAAATGAACTTGCTTTATGATGAATCAAAAAGTTGAGCTATAGAAATATGCAAAACCCGTGCCAATTCTAATAACTCTCCTAATGCTATCACTTTTGGAGTCCACAAAGCTCCTCAGCCCGGGTTCTTAGCACCCTTAGCTATAGTCGCCCTCGTATTGTGGGTTCGAATGGAAGAGTGACCGATATGCAGAAATGAAGACGAGACAAGCAACGATTTAAGAGATGAGAAAGAAATGCCGATTAAGAAACGAATACTGGTTTAAGTTTAACGAATGCTTGCCCGGAGAATAAGTAGTGCTCAGCTTGGTTGACGATTGAGTTGAAGGAGAAATGAATAGAATTTAGATAAGAGACTAATTTGAATGAAAATACCTGATTTATCGGACACGGAGTCTAATTTGTACGCAGAACGAAGCTAACCCTATCGAGGCAAGGTAGCCGTGCGGTTGATAAGGCGAGGTAGCCTTACAACACCGTAGATTTGTTGGTATATGTATATAGGGTTGGTTACCTTGTATGGGGTGATTGGGTGTATCACCACCACAGTGCGTGTCGTGTCGTGTCGGGTATGGTAGCCCAGGCTTTTTGTCTCAAGGTCGAAACGCGAGCCCAGAATGTTGCTTGCGTTCGCTGAGTACTCGATTGAAACATGACTCCACAAACGGAGAACTCTTTGCAAGAATAAGTTGTCTAAATTACTGCAAATTACAACTTGAAAAATATAAGTTTGAATAGAGGAATTGTTGGAGAGGATGATGGTGCATCCGGAATTTCTAAATGATGAGTGGTTATCGAGATAATTGGGAAAAACCTAATTACGAGAATATGTATGTATTTGGTATTGGGCTAAAGCTATACGTAACCTCTCTGAGCACCACAAAACCCCCCGTTTTAAGCCATGACTTTGTTTTTATTAACATCAATCAAAAATAAACTTTTATGACAACATTTTGTAATTTCTAATATTAAGAATATTAAGCGAAATTACTGTTAACTTGGAATTTGAAACAGTACAATACTGGAAAAGTAATATGATTCAACTGAATATAACTCAAAAATGATAAGTTAATTGAACTAATTTGAGAACAATGCTAACTTGTAGCAAGAACGAGAATGTGACTCAATGGTTGAGCTTGAAATAAGACTATAATTATGAAAGCTTTTTTTTTTGGTAACTAAAATAAATGTATCTTAGTTCGAACTAGCATTGAAGTGGTCTGACTGATTCGTCGATGAAGTAAAGTTTTAGTCGGGGGTAATCTCCATTGGTTCCAAGGGGAAATTGGGAGAAAGTGGTCCGGTGTCCATATCTTGGGGTCCATTTTTGTCGAATTCAGCCAAAGAGGTCGCAGATGACTGAAGAAAATGCTCGATCCTCTCATTGTCCGACTCTACAACGGTTTCGTGCTCTATCGCCTCTTTGCTACGTCGGCGCTTATGTTTGTGGCGACGTGAATGTTTGTCTTTTTTATTGGTGGTTAGGGACTGACTTGGTGATTGTACTGCAGGCTCTTTGAAAGTAACTTTTTTAGCTTTGTCTTTCCTCCCTTTTGGCTTCTCGATCTCCTTAACCAATTTTAGGAGAGGTTTTGCCATAATTGATTTGAGCGAGTTTGAGGTTGGATTGATGGGATTGGACTCTGGTAAATTCGGCAGTACTTTGTGTCGCTCATCACGCGGTGTCACTTTGGTGGGTGGCTCGAACATTGGTATCGTCGCGGAGAGTTGTCGTCTTTCAGCTTGGGCTTTTGCTCGAGCTAATTCATTATGAATATTTGTTGTTGAGGTGGCTTGTGATTTGTTGCCACTTGGGTCCTCGACACTAGTTGAGATTTGTCGTGGACGTTTGTGGAGTGAAAGCTCGTGGAGAAAATTGTGAATTTGGTTATTTGGTAAGCCGAGTGCTGGTTTGGGCTGGTATTTTGTTGTGTGAGGTTGGGGTTCAATCTCGTTCATTGATGAGAGTTGCACAGTTTTCTGTAGCAAATTGCCCCAATTATCGAAGACTTTGGCAATTTTCACTCGGCGTGGTTGGTATGGGAATTGTGGGTTGTCGAGGGAGTCAATGGGCTGTGAGGAGTCAGCGGTTGTTGGGCGACTGACTTTGTCGTCGTGGTCGTAGATCATATCGGCTGGACTGTTGTAGGAGCGGGTTTGGATGCTTGCTCCGCCGGTTCGATACATTGACGCTAGGTACTTGGGGGTCATTTTGATCGTTGCTACTCGAGGGTAGTTTGGCTTTGCCCATGGTCTGTTTAGTTGACTTGGTTGGTGCGATTGGTACTGGCGTGACTTTTGTACGAGTTTGGACATGAGATCGAGATCGATTGGATTTTTTTGTTGCTGTTGGGGAAGAGCATTTGGTATCGCTGGCCGTTGATAATTTGCTGGTGTCGGGTGGTAGGACCGGAAGAACGGATGACGGAAGTCCGGGAGATACCGTGGTGGAGGTGGCAGGAGACATGGACGGAGTGGACGCTGCACCATCGGAATTCTCATCAGTGGAATTGGTGGGTTGGTCGACGGCCTTGGTTGAGGTGCCATTCTGATTCTTTGAGTTTGGTAGCTCTGTGTCAGAATTAAAAGGTTTTAACTCTGACACGTGCTTAATTCCGTACGAATTACCCTCCATGTCCGACAACTCATATAATGTACGACTTATGGTTTTCGAAATTAAAAATGGGCCTTCCCATCGTTTTGCAAGGCTTGCGGTAATGCCTTTAGCGGCGTTAGACAAGACATGGGTTCGTCTGTAAACGCTATCTCCAATCGAAAATCTTTTATCTCGTTTCCCTATGTTATAGTAAGATTGATAAGTTGCTTGAGCATCCAACATATTCTCGCGTGCCACAGCTAAAATTGTATCGACTTGTTTACTTATTTTCCCCCATGGCCATCTCGGAATTTGTTGGGTTGGTAAATTGAATTCATTGTCGAAAGGGGTTCTTAATTCTCGAAAGAAATTTAAGAAAGCTGGAGTAAACTGGGTGGTAGAGTTTACTGCAGTACGCAAAGCGAAAGCTAACTCATCTAAGTGCTTGTCCCAATCTTTCATTTTTGATGTCGTTGCTATAATCATGGTTTTTATGGTTCGGTTGTAGCGTTCCGTCTGATTTGCCTGTGGGTGATAAGGTGGAGTTTGAAAAATTCTTATTCCTAACCACGCGCAAAAGCCAATGTACTCTTTCGACGTGAATTGAGTACCTTGATCGCTCAAAAGTGTTTTTGGAATTCCCCATCGGCAAAATAATTTCCATAATCTGTTTATTACTGCGGAAGTGGTAGCGGTTCGCAGTGGAAAGAGTTCGACCCATTTCGTAAAATAATCCACCACGACTAAAAGATGACTATTCTGACTACTTGACGTTGTGTAGGGTCCCATGAGATCTAAGGTGACTAAATCCCAAGGGGCCTCTGCCGAAACAGAGGAAGCTAAACCTGCTTTTCCTAGAGATGGAATTTTAGTTTCCTGACAGTCGTGACACGACGTTACGAATTTTGCAATGTCCCTACGCATATCTTTCCAAAAGCAACGTTGGGCTACTCTGTGGTAAGTTTTCGCAGTACCTAAATGACCGGCTATGGTACCTGTGTGAAATACGTCGATGACTTTTTTAACTAACGACTCTGGGATCCATATTCGAAGTGACTCGTCACCATCAGCCCATGGTTGATTTACTGGAGCTACTCGTCTCATTAAAATCCCGTCTCGAATTTCGGAAGATTTTGCTTGTCGCTGTATTTTTTGTGCTGAAGATTGGTCTGGTGGTAACTCGTCGTTGAGAAGAAAATGGATTAACGGACCTAGCTCGTAGTCGGCGTTTTGTTCTTGCTCAACTGATATTTTATTAATTGAGCTCGAATCGTCTCCATACAAACATGTTGCGGATCTGGACAGAGCATCGGCCATTTGATTATGTTTGCCCTT